AGGTTGTTGCTCTTAACCCCACTAGTTACAGCTTCACATCAGCAAATCCCAACCCTTTTATTTTGAAAGGTCTCCAAAATCCAAAGTAGTCTGGAGTCAGTGACGAGTCAAAGGTAATTCTGGTTCATCCATAATGTTATTCCAGTCATAATATTCATTAAACTTTATGACATTGAAGCCAAAAGAAATGCTGCTTGACCATTCGCCTGAAGTTGTTACAAGTAGCTAAAGCAAATCTACCTTTTTTACTTATAAATTTAATAAGTCTGAAATTGAGATGACTTTTAGGTGATCTGGAACTTCACAAGATAGTCTGCAAAAAAGTCAGTGTTCAGGGAACAACTCTAGGTCAAGAAATACATTTACATAAGTACGTACCACCTGTTTTCAACACCACAACCATGACTTCATGCCTCACAAGGCAGCGGAAGAAAAATGGCTTATTTATGCTTCCACAAAAAACCCCAAAACCAACAACAACAAAAAAAACCCCCCACAAAACAAAAAAGCCACCTAACTTCTGTAACCAGGACTTAAAATTCCATATGTTAGAAAAGTAGCTGAACAGTCCCTGTTGTTCTCCCAGAGTACATTGTCCGAAACAGGAAGCAACTGTCTCAGAACAAAGCAGGACAAATTACAGAAAGATGTTTTTCCTCAAACATCTGAAGCCAAACGACAATTTTGCCTGGCACCACTACTTTGTCATTCATTATCATGGAGACAATGATTAATGGAGGCAGATTATGATGAAAAGCTCAGGGAAGGCTAAATCAGTGAAGTGTTCAACACTGCTTTCACCGTGGTTAGAAAACAAGGCTGGTTCCTAGAGGTATTTATAGCTACCGAGGCTCTGGATTCCCTCCCTTATTCACACACATTTCCACCACCCTCTTTGCTCCAATACCTAACTGCTCACAGATCTTCACCAGATTCCATTTGGAAGCCCAAATACCCAGCTTGCTCGGTAACAAATTGTCCTTCCCCTGTTAACATGGAGGGGTCTAGCAGTGAAAAAAAGAATTTCCAGAATCAAACCCAGAGTCAAAGACTCGTGTGGCGATAACCCACAAGAGACATCGTGGACATGGTGCAATAATCATCATATTAGGAACTCGTGTGCATATAGGAATGCACAAGTCAAGCCACAACGGGGCACTGAACACTTGCCGGTTTACATTAGCGAAAGTGTTCTTACCTCTTTAAATTCTTTCACTGTTTTAAAGTAAAGCCTCTGTTTCTCTAGAAGCTCTAAGTATTCATCATTCAACTGGTCTCTTCGCATTTTGTTTTCTTGCTTCTTCTTTTCCATCTGTTGGTAAACAGGAAGGGTAAGAGCTCATATACTGTATCAGGAATACACAAACACACACAAATACTGTATAAGGAACAACTACCTATAGTAGAAAATGGGAAGCAGATGCTTCATAAACGATACACCTGGTTTGTGCTTTAAATACAATGAACATTTAGGCCTGTTCTTAAAAAAACAATAAGGAAAAAGCTAATGCTGAGGTCTCAGCACCAGTGGCACTACAGGCAGTGTTCAGAATGAAGCTAAGGCTCACATCTCTGCAAGCCAGGAACCTGGCTCACTGAACAATCCTACCTCAATGATGACAGAGAGAAATTAATTAACAAGAACAAAACCCAAAACCCCCCAAACAAACAAAAAAAAGGCTTTGGATGCAACACTGAGATATTAACATGGTCGTTTATGTCAGTTTTATCAAACGGGGAGGGCAGGAGACATCTTTACTGTCCTATGCAATGCTGTACTTGCTCAAGACCCACATGTAAGAAATCTCTTTGCTCCTTGTGCCCAAGCTGTGACAAATGTAACATGTCCCTCAACATGAAGAGGATGGGTTCTCACTGTAGAATAGACTGCCTTCCTCGTCGGGGTAGTTCTAATGAAGTTCTTTCACCACAGCTTCACCGACACATTTGCTGCTAGTCCAGAGAGTAAATTGTCCCTCCCTCCCACCCTCCGGTGCTAGGGCACAACCACATTAAAAAAAGCCCTATTGTATTCCTCTCCCCCAAAATTATTTCTGTATTCTCTCTGACAGGCTTTCACCTCCTAAATTTTGACAGGGAAAAATGCAATTCCAAAACCTGCAAGAATCCCCTAAAGCCCACACAAGCAGGCAATTCCGCAGCAGCAGAACTTGCTCCATTTCTAGATTTATGTATCAACATTGATCTTACTGATTCTTATGCCTAAAAGAAACGAGCAGACCCCAAACTTTCTGCAAGTATGAACACTGCTGACAAGGTACGTCTCCTTTACAAAGCCAGCTGCTGTCCAAAACATCAGGGAATCTCTCCTAACGTAACTTATCAGGGCCAGCAGGTTTTAAAAAGTCACGCTTGAGGAAGAAGCGGCATTAAATATGTTAATGCAGAAAAAAGCACGTCACATGTGTCTCGTTCCTTTTAGGATGAGGCCAAACCCAGCATTGCTAAAACATCTAGGAACCAGATTCTTATGAAGAGGTAAGACCCTATTACTATCCTTTGATAAACTGCTGCTTTTATGCATGACCACGACAAATCTCTCGACATGTTCCTCTCGGCAGAAACTGGCCTGCTCTCTCCTCAGGTCTCGTGAATATCTGTTTCCACACCAAAAAACTTGTTTGCAAGTAACGCATGCTTGGTAACAAGTACGGCTGATTTCTCCTTAGGCCTCTTACACAACGCAGTTACAGTATGATGCGCTTTGATAACCAAAATTTCTCTTCAAGTAGAAGCCCTTCAGGGCTGGACAGAAAACAAAGTGGATGTACTTTAAGAGTGAATTGTGAAAGTGACTGAGCCCTTCTAACGCACTGCAGACACAAGTCGGACAGGTAAGACTAAGCCATCACGGGGATGAATAACCCTTGCCGCGTACACCTAGCCTGTCTGTTGAAAAAGCCATCTGACAGACGTTGCCTAGGTGAAGAGTAAGAAAACCTTCCCTTTTGCAGCAGAGCTGTTCCCCAAGGAACCATGTGAATTGTTAAAAGTGTCTTAGCATCCGTTTGTTGTCAATACCTTCACTGGCATTGAGAAATCAATTACGAGAAGATACCACATGATTATCTACTCCATCACGAACAATCAATTTTTTCTCTCAAGTGAGGTAAGCTTAGCTTTTTCATTCAGAAACTCTTGTCTTTCTCCATTAGTTGTAACTGCCACCTCCTGCTGATCCAGACACCTACACCTAGGAATGAAATGTCACTTGTGAGCTCGCCCACAAGATGCCAAACGGCCAGTGCAGAAATACAGCACAAGTGACGTGAGCTGCCATTGCTTTGAGCTGCCATCAGGGATGCCAAAATTATCCTCCCCAAGTAACGGGTCTTCTGACACAATAGCTCCCATTTACTTCCCTCTCCCTTATCTGAAAATGAAGCAGCTGAAAGTTTTGATTCTATTTGAGAATACAGTAAGAAAGTCCAGAATGATTTTATGGACTTCAAAGATTTAACAGTTCAATTGCAAGAACCTGCAGTTAAGTCACAGCAGATCTCCCAGTCTGCGTTCACTCCTTGCATTTGCTGTGCTGTTACGCATTTCTGTGCGCATAATGGAGGACAAAACAGAAAACAAAACACTGAACTCCTGGAGAGTTCCAATTTGGGGCAGTTGCTCGCTGCAGAAATTAAAATTATGTCATCCTTCAAAGAAGAAAGAAATGTAATGTCTTCTAGACATTAGGAAAAACTTCTTCACTCAAAGGGTTGTCAGGCTCTGGAAGGGGCTGCCCAGGGAGGTGGTAGAGTCCTCCTCCCTGGAGGTATTTAAAAGAAGGATAGATGAGGTGCTTAGGGCCATGGTCTAGTGGTGGGATGGCAGGGTTAGGTTAAAGGTTGGACTCAATGATATCAAAGGTCTTTTCCAACCAAAGTGATTCTATGATTCAAGCTTATCTTCACTAGTCAGAATTGCACTGTTCTACAGTATCTTCATGATCTCAAGCTGATGCCGAGTCACTCATTACGTCAACTGGCCCATACATACAACCACTGATACCACTATTCTTTCTGCTGCCATTTTCTCCTCTCTGAAAATAGGAAGTCAAACAAATAAAAATAATTAATTGCAAAAAAAAAAAAAAGGCAATTAACTAGCCACCTATTCGAACACAGCAGTCTATAGGAAATGTCACATATTTTATAGTGGAGTTTATTAGTGCAAGAGAGCTTTATTACAGCTCAAGTTCCATCCTGTTCTGGTTTTCTACATACACGTGTTTATCATAGTTTGTACTTGAAGTTTCTATGTAGCTATTGAGATAACACAGCCCAATACCTGGACAAACTGCATTTTTAGTACATGTTCTAGTATATATTGATTTATAATCTATCATACTTCCATTTAAACTCAAATAAAGAACAGCTGTAATCCACTACCAAGAATTTTCTGGTTTTGTGGAGAAAAGAATCTCAAAACCCCTTCTATGGGCTTCATGCAACCCAGACAGAAGAATTCTCACTGACTTCAGTGACATACAGCTGTTTCAAGCACCGACACCACTACACTGCTGATAACAAAGTTACAGGGTATAAGCTTCCCATCCGGAGAGAAAAGTGTTATACTATCTCTGTTCTACTCTATTCACTGCATTTCATTGGCAAGCAATTTCTTATGGATGTGAAAATAAGTAACACTTGTTAGTTGCTTGCTTAATTTGCACCTCACATAATGGGTTTCTCCATGCATAGTTATTGTCCAAGAGCCTTTTCTGAAATATTTCCCAGGTTCTACCAAAGAAAGAGAGAAGAGTCTCTGACCTTCATCCGATTCTGTTTGATGCCTTCTACAATCTGTTCCATCTGCCGTAAAAACTGCTCACGAGAACCAGAAGATGCCATTGCTCTGGAAAGAAGAAAAGGTAACAACTGTCAGGGATGTAGGACAACGCGTCTCACTTGCAGTTGTCTTGCGTATTTACCCATGTCCAAGAATTCACATTGCTTAGTGTTCTATGTAAAAATTCATCGTTTCAATCACTGATTTCAGGCAATAGCACGGCTCTTCAGCTGGCATAAACTATCAAAGGGATGGGAACAGAGACTACAGAGCTCATCACAAGTGTTCACCCTGTCGGTTCAAGTCTGTTCTCTCTCTCTCACGCATTGTACAGAAATAAATTGCTATTAACTAAGTAACCAAAAGCACAAACTTTTAAGAAAAGCAGCTGTTGGGAATATTAAGATGGCGAGTAGAAGACTAGTAGATCAGTAAATATTCTAAAAAATAATCTCATGCCCTAACAGGGAAAGCCCAGAAGTAATTTTAGATTTGTAACATGCCTCAGATTAAAAATAATAAAACTCAGAAAATACACCTCCTCCCCACACACCCACCAATTAAAAGGCTTGGATGTCACAAGGGGGAATAAAATTTTCTGACCAAACACAGAAGGACACAAGTGTTTCAAAGTAAACAAAGAGATAATTAATTACTCTGGAAAAAAAAAAAAGCAGCTTGTAATTTCACAACACAGTTGTAAAAAGATATAACAGGAAGAATTGTTTAAAACTATTAAATAGCCATCTCCTCCCTCATGACTCTACTGAATTGTAGTGTTGTGACAAAAATTCATATTGGACTTTTCATTGTGAAGTCAAAAGAAACACAGAAAAAAAAAATGCTGGCTGCATCATAGACTGATATTTGACCTTGAACTTCCAAGGGAACCATGATTTTACCTAAAGACTTCACACTTCATCAAAACCTTTAAATACAGATTTAGTCTACAATAAAGATGTCTGAAGTATGGCTGAATCTAATGTTTTGTACATAATGCAATAACCACAACTTCACAGAATGGAGAAAAATATTTAAATTAATGCCAGGAAAATCATAACTGAATTATTTCTTTCCACAACTGCAACTGAAGAGCCAGATATTAAAAACATATGTTGACTATAAAAGTTAGGTAATTCCAAGTCTTTGATTCCCCAAACATTGGCTTAAACAGAATTAATAAACAATTTTATAAAAACAAGTTTACGTTAATAACAAATTCTAACAATTTTTAAGACTAACTCATGCCCGCTCCCATTTTTCCAACCAACCATGCTACTCATTTCAACTAGCAAGAGAAAAATGACCATTACTTACTGATTAAAGTTGTCATGAATAGAATTCAGTAAGTTAACCTGTGAATTAGGGGGAAAAAAAAAAAAAAAAAATTACACATTTGTCCTTTCTGGTATGAGATTCCACAGACAATAAAATGAAATTCAAGTTAAAAAACTGACTATATAGATGTTGCCCTGACAAGCAGTTTGCTGCATGAAAATGACCATGAGCTTTCTTTTGCAAAAGAAATCATGATCCCTCTGTATAAGTAAAATCTATCCTAGTGAGGGAGCCACAGAAATCAGAAGTGAGTCTTGGACCACAGTTGCGATTTTTAATTTTACTGATGCCCAATTACACCATTGAGAATTTTCCAGCATGACGCCTTTCCAAACTAGAGGGATGAAGTAAAATGGCGTATACATCTCTTCAACGTGTGGTGAGATATGACAAGTACAAGTACCGTACAGGTACTCATCCAGCAGTCAGCAGCGACAGTGCACGAGCTCATGCTGTGGCTATATTAGGTTTGCATAATTAGTCTGACTTGTAGTGATAAACCAGAACGAACAGTTTCACTCAGGCTGAGGGCTGAGACTATGCTTACAAGCCAGAGAGGATGGCAAATGAAGAGGTATCTTTAACCCCCCCACACCAAACAAAACCCAAACCCCCAAGCAATAACTCCCCAACACCCAAGCAAAAGAAACCCAGGCTGCATTGACAGTTCTGAAGATGCCAGTTTTTTTAGTTTGCAGCACAGCTCTGTCAAGTAGCTGCAACTTAGCTCACCAGCCTGAGCAAAGCATTGCATCGGGAAAAAAAAAACATTTAAAAAAAAAAAAAAACCAAACAAACCAACAAGAAAAAGAAAAAATGACCCCCCACTTTTGCTTTTGAGACTGGAACCAGTATCTCCACATAATACTGTAAAGACTCACCAAGCAGTGCAGGAACAACAGGTGAATTTCTGCACTGCTTTCGCTCTGCAGATGAGTTTTACAGGTTTCCAAACAGCCATGCCTCATTACTCGCTTCACTTACATGTATTTTACAGGCTGTTAAAAGACAAACCTCTAAAAAGTACAGAATGGTATTTCACATGCATGGCTTCTCTTACGAGATACTAGCACTGCACTGAATCAAGACAGAAATAGAAATTTGTAACAATATCGCAGGAATATTTTATTGCTCTCACTATAGAACTCCCCCAACTAATTAAACTATAAATTGCATATTTTCTATGTAACCACCTTTGATTTTTTTTCTTGCCTTCCACATATTGCTGAGAGCACTAAAATTCACCAAGAAGCAATTAACATGATTCTCTCTTGGCTTTGAATACTTCTTGCAAGTCTCCTGTGGTTAAACCTTGCAAGCAGTTTCTCCTTTTGATGAATATTTGAAAGTGCTCTGTACTAAACAAACCTAAGCACTGAGGACAGGACGACTTGCCCCACCGCTATGGGAAGCTAACCTGATCTCTCCCAGACCTAAACCATTCCAGCTGAATGGGACAGCGATAAGCACATGCATGGCACAATCTGCAGTTGTTCCTGACCTTACTCTGAAAAATTAAACCAAATTCTGAACAGACTGCAAAGCAGCTAAGATGTTTAAGAATTCCTGTTACTTAGAGGAAAGAAAATATCGCATGACCCATGAATATTTGCCAAGTCCGCATCCTTGCCTCAAGATATTTGCAATAAGCATGAGTTTAAGAATGTAATTACAGTTTATACCGCAAAACATTCAAGTCATGAAAAGCAGTAGTACACAACTATCACGTAGTAAGCATGCTGGTCTGTTACATTACAGACAGTAAAATTGGTGTATAAGCCCGCCCAAATCAAAGACATTACGGAAAAAATGAGTTTAAAAGCATTTTAAAAACCAATCTTTCACAAAATAGGATTAAAACTTCAACCATATTCAGAGACCTTTCATGTCAGAACTATAACCTTTATAGCCAGAACTGTGCTATATAACAATTCTTGCTATTGTTATTTTAAAGCAATTATGCTCGACATATTTTATGAAAGGGTTGGGTTTGGGCAGGGGGAGAAAAGAAAAAAAAAAAAGGGGGGGGGGCTAGAAAAAGCTCAAGCGTATTCTGGAAATCTCCCTGAGGCGCAGCTGCCAAAGGCATCTTTTGTACATTACTAGACAATATTTACTTGCTGAAACCTTGGTTCTAATATTAAAAACAACACAAGGAAACCTCAACTATATTATACATTTAACAGAAGTTAAGACTGCATCAGAAGACATTCAGCCCTCTCTCTCTTGTGATTGACATGAAGATAAAAGAAACCCTTGATCAATTTATTTGCCTTTTGAAATTATATCCGTGTAAGTGAAGCTTGGAACTCAGCAAAAAAACCCCCCAAACCCCCAACCAAACCCCCCCAGAAGGCACTGAAATTACATTGGCAAGAGTAGTCCCGATTTATACAACAATGAAATACATCTGCTCTGTATTCTGTCAGATGGTTTTTATGTGCCCATTTCAAACACAATCTGTATGCTCTTTAAGTTTGCAGGCTTGCCCTCAAAATTAAAAAGATAAATCTGTATTGAACTCTAAACTATGGGAGAAGTTAAAGTAATATGAGTTCTACAGCTACTACTTGACATAGTATCTTAAATCTGGTATACTGTTATCTGCAACCTGTTGTATTATATATTATGTATTATATATTATTTCACCATTTGGAATAAGAAAATAAACCCAATGAAAGACCACAGAAAAACACAGCGTGTGATATTCTTACAGCCTTAAGTAAGCCATTTGCCAGGACCGCTGGCAGCCATTATACCATCCACTCTTGGACACAGATGCAAATTGTACAGCTGGGGTTCCCGAATATTCCGTGTGTCACTGACATTACACAGTATCATCACTGTTGGTTTGTAAGAAGTTGATGTTTGAAAAATTTTCAAGGAAAAATCTTAATGGTATTTTCAGAAGAGGAAAAGGTAAGCTACACCAGTAATTCCAAGATAATTTATTTGAGGATCTTAGGGACCATCAGGTAGAATAATTTTTAGAAACAGCTAAAACTGAAACCTGTCCCAGAAATCACATATTTCTAGAGCACATGACAATCATTACAGCAGGTTAAATGTTGGTAAGATCCTGCTTTGTATTGATCACTCACCTAACTCACTCTCTCTATATACACACACACATCCCCAATAAAAAAAGCTGTAAGGCTCATTTCAGCACAGAACCTGAGATTTTTTTTTTACATGTATTATTTACATGTGGTGTTAAATCACCTAGTCACAGAACTTGCTCTTGAATTTATTGTGATGCAACTTGGATTCTGACAACATTCACAGAGCGGTGTAAAACTTTTCTGCAACAGAAACGGCCAGATCTACCCTGACACTGCAGTCATGCCTTAAAATAATTCTATCAGGGTAGACTGGGGACAGTTACAGTTTAGAATGGTAGTGCGAGAACAGTATTCTGCGTTTGGGTTTGGTTTTTTTTTTTTACCCCTCATCATCCTGGCCTCCAGAAAATCTGTGAGGAAGCTCAGTCTTGTATGTTTGCCAAAGGAAAAAGATATTGTATCTCTGAGTAAGTTCTGCACAGGAGTAGAACATTGGTGACCTTTCCAGCAGACTCGCATGGAGCATTTAAGGTTAACAAAACCAAAGCAGGTAAACCCTACTCAGTTACTTTAGAACCAAGTAAGAGAATCAGGAAGGGATGAAGTTTTTTTCCCCAGAGTTAACACACTCTCGTACACGCCTGACGTTACTCTATCCTGAAGGGCTGCTGTTTGCCAAAAGCTCCCCCTGCTCCCCCACTACCTCTCCTCACAGTTTTACAACAGGTACAGTACCTGCAGCATAGGTTAATTGTGAAAGAATATTTCTGTATTTAAGCCTATTCCTTCAGTTGTGTTTTGTGGCAAGCAACTGTCAGGACCACACACCCTCTAAAGAAGCTACATAAATTAGTGACTTTTCTGAACTGAAAAATTGAAAATTATCTAGCACATGTATTAGAATCAGCTGCCTAATGGAAGGAAATGGTTGCTCATCATCTTCAGAAACAGGAGATAAAGTGTCTTCACATAGTGAGAAATCTGTCTACTGCTTGTCTCAAACTAAACAAATATATCTAAGTAATGCAAAAATAACTAATCTCTTCTTATTTTATTGGAATAAACAGAGAAGCCTGAAGTATCAAAACAGTACATATTTTAAAAGTAATGTCATACTTTTTATCAGGTCTTAACTGCTCCTGTTTCTCCACCTCTACTGAAGTCACATGCTTGTCATCACAAAAAAAAAAAAAAAAAAAAAAAAAAATTGAAATCACTCGATTAAGTCATGCCCAAGAAAGAGCCAAACTCTGTATAGTACGGAGAGAGGGGAGGGGAAAAAACCAAGCCACTTTCATAAAAACTACTCTTCTGATCCAGTAAAATCACCAGCAACTTCAGTGTAGGCATGCTCAGACCCTGAGAACTAACTCTGATGTTGCTGACAGCAGTTGGAATTTGCCCTCCAAAGTTACTGACTGTAGCATTGGTTCATAGTAAAAGATATTATGGACCAAAATGAGAAAAAGAGGGTAATTTGGTCCTGTGATACCAAGACAGAGATATTTGCTGATCAAATGTTACTCATGTTTTGTGAGCACAGCGAGTAGTTTAAACATGCTGTACTAATAGCACTTCTACAACACAGACCATTTCCCCCTCAATATTAGAAATATTCTTATGACTCAATTGTTTCATTTTTACAAAGACTGTTAAGTCTGCTCTGACACCACTGAATATGGTGAAAGCCAAGTAAAAAAACTCTTTATCTCCTTCTCCATAGACTGCATATTTAGGAAAAAGTAATAACATTTTCTTACCTCCTTTTCCAAATATACTTTCTTATCATCCAGTGTATTATAAAGAGTAAAGAACTGCTTCGTTTCTTTGTGAGTTGCTGAGACTGCAAACAAAAAAAGGGTAGAATAATAAAAGAGCATGAGGTGAAATGGAATCTGTAAAAATACATCGTAGGCTTTATATAATATACTTTCCAATATCAATAATGGAACACACTCTCTAGTACATTCCAGAAGAATATTCCCTCTGCATGTAAATCTCCAGCAGGGTTTGCAGCTATCAGGCTTTATGAGAACAACACAGCTCAGTGTTTAAATTAAGCCACAACTGACAGTCCTTTATGCAAACATATGCTGGCACTATCAGCTGTGCTTCCTTACCACTGTCTGTTCATCCTTCCTTCACAAGCTTTACCCTTACACCATAGAGGTTGCTGTGCTGCTAACAGTTGCCCTTGCATAGCTTGCTCATGGTGGTGGAGAGGCACAGGCTCGGCAGGGACAGGTAGGAAACAGATAATCTGATAGTACTGTGTGGGAAAAAAAGTGCATTATACTATGTATTCCAGGCTACACACGTGCAAGATGCACAAGAAAGCTTTTACTGTTTTAAAGCCTTTTCTCCTCTTCTTACAATTTATTCATGCTAATAGGATTAAATAATACTTTCTTTCCAAATAATACTTTCTGGTTTAGGTGATTATAGCAGGTGTTGGTTATAGCTCGGTGGGGAATGCATGGCTCAGATACGAGGCCCCTTTGGGCCTACAAGATGATGACCGATACTCAAATCTGCTAAGTCTTCATCTATCCCCTAGTTCTTCAACGCTTAAGGAAACCTAAGATATTTGTGATTCCCAAGGAAAGAGTTTGACAGAGAAGGACAACTTGGCAAAATATATTAAGCACTGTCTAGAGTCCTGAACCTGGAAAAAACATATCTGCTAAAAAAGATCACATTATTTAATAATGAAAACTATTTCAGAGGTCAACCATGCGTGAAATCAATGCTCAATACATTAAACTCTAAAGGCTAACAAGTTGCCATCTTTAAATAAAACCTTTACTGAACTGATACGCTGGACTAAGCTTTTGACTGGAACCATTTACAGACAGCATGACCTCATTCCCCTGTCACAATGTCATTAAACATCCAAATTATTAAAGAAAGTCCATCTCTTGATTTGCACAATTCTGTTCTCCAGATGAAGCCCAACAGCAACCCACAGCTCAAATGTTTTACTAACAGAAATCCAGCAGTGGCTACTTCTGCAGTAGCAAGATGTTTGGGATGAACAGCTTTCTCGTTGCCACAGCATGACTTTGGCACGTGTTCTGCACATGCTGTAGCCTTGAGAAGCGTACTGAGTAACCGGGAGCCTGAAAGCACCAAGGAATTCAGGAAAGCCTGCAATCAGGCTGCTTCTTGAAAAAGTGCACAAGTCAGGAAAGCCTGGGATAGGTTGACAAATGAGTAAGGGCTATTCAGCATGTTCCAAATGCTGCAATCAGGCTGCTTCTTGAAAAAGTGCACAAATACAAGGATCACCGACAAGCTTACTTCAGGTGTGCTCTCTTAGTTAATTTTTGCAGGACTTGCTGCTGCCAAATGGAAAAGGCCTCTCCCAAACCATTTCCTTCCTGCAGCTCTTCCCTATCTTGCAGCAGCTCTGGTAGTCACAGATCTTTTATGAGTGGATTCCACATACCAACCCAGAAGAAAACTTTCCAGTATTTCCACTGGGTTAGAAAGTTGTACCAGCTTGTGGAGCCTTATGGGCACGCACCAGAGCCCACGTAAGATAAGAAAGGCAAAGAAAGAAAAGGAAGAATGAGCCAGCTGGTTCACTGATTCTCTCGAAACCACAGCTTAATGTTTTCAAAGGAAGAGGCTTCAGTTTAGTCAAAAATAAAGTGGGGAATATTGGAACTTAAAAGCATTCTAGTACAGAATCACAGAATCACTGAGGTTGGAAGGCATCGCTGAAGATTGTCTTGTCCAACATACCTTGGATCAAAGTTCAAAAAAACAGGTTTGGGCAACTCTGAAGATCACCTGAATCTGGCTAAATTAAAAGCCTATAAAAAATACCCCAATTCACAGAAAGACTTGCTAGAGATTTTAAGCCCATTTTCCAAAAAACTTAGCCTGTACAATGCAGGTTCCCAGCCACAAACGAGAAGTGCGTTATCTAAGTTACTACACATGTTTTGTAGTATAGAAGACATAGTCCCGTAAAATTCAAAGCATTTTATATCTACACCCAAAGCTACACAAGTCTCTTGGACCTTAATCTTTCTGTACTTCATATATAAATGAAGCCCCCATCTTGTGAGCAGCTAGATGCTCTGACCACAATTATTTGTCTGAATTCACTTAGACATGACAGAGAAAGCAATCTGTAAAAAACAGTAATGAAAGACAACAAATTTGTCTTTATCAATGGACTTGATTAAATAAATTGCATGGCACATAAGCAGCAAAGCAGGGGGAGGGAAGTACTGGATTTGTGCTCACTGCAGAAGTACATCTATCCCATGCATGGGGTTAGACAACACACACGGAAGATAGCACACAACTACGTCACTAGAGCAGCCTCATCAGGGGAAGGGATTTGAATCAAAGCTAGGCAACAATTTTAGAACTGCTCAACCTTCAAAAGCTTGGTTCACACACATATTTTGTGAATGCAGAACACCTTTAGAACATAGCTAGTTCTCCTTTGTAGAAACTTATTTTAGGTTATGCTAATACACAAGCTACATTAAATATACACCAGTAAGTATACTGGTCTGTTATTAGTTTAATGGAACAACTTTAAAATTCTATTCAGTTTGCATGCTTCATACCATCCATGCACAGCAAACACGTACCTATCCAAAAAGACAATCAAGCACATTTCCCCATTTTATAGCTTCTTATAATTAAAAAAAAAAGTTAAAAGACAGTTTGTACTCTGATCCTACCAAGATATTGCAGGACATTTATAAATCAAACAAGTATGAAAACAATCCCTTCAAGAAATTGCCTTTACTTTGTAGTTCTTGACATAGTTTGGTTCAAAACCAGATATCTCACATCAATGAGAACAATGAAAGCAATCTAATGTTAAGAGCAATTAAACACAACTCAAATTTACAGCAACCTCAGCTGTAAATGGTGAATTAAGGACTTTCTAAACCCACTTGTCATTAGATGACTGAACCTGTTGCAGACAAAATTTGCTCCAGATATCTTGTGCATCAAGTTTTGCCCTCAGGAAAATTCTTACAGCCAGTTTATAAAGCCTTGAAAATAGGGTATGCAACGTGAATACCAAAAACCCCTTTAAATACCACAAAATTAGCAAGTGCTGTTGTTACATGCCATATGCTCAAAATGCAACTGCCCTCCTTCCAGGGCTTTTGCCTTCAGCAGTATATTCCTGCTTGATATACATACCCTGACTGTAAAGTTCAATAAATCTCTTCTGATACTGTGTTAGCTCAGCTCGGCTGGGTACTTCATCAATCTTGCGTTGTAAAATGGCTATTTCTCTGTTTCTTCGTGCCTGAATAGAAAGTTAGGAGGGGAGAAAACAAAGCCTCTTCTTGTTCTCTTCTTAAAATGGATGAAGCCCCCCCAGCAATATTTTGTTACTAAATAATTAATTAAAAAAAAAAAAAAAAAAAAGCATTGGCCAAGGCTCAATTTTTTTTGTAATTGATTTGTGACAGAAAAAAATTTAGAACAAAAAGAAGTATTAGAAGTTACAATATAAGAAAAACATCAATAATTTTGTACGAGAAAATTTACAAAGAGTTACTCACCAGTAACAGCCGGATCTTTTGAAGTTTATCTTTCTCAGTTTGGTACTGCTGTTCTATAATTTTATTTGGCTCCTAGAATTTGAGAACCCAAAACAATTGTGTATTAGAGTAGCAAAAATGTGCAGACTGGGTTTGTTTTCTGTGTTTGTCTATCTTCCATTTAATGGTTCCCACAATAACACCACCATTTGCTGTTATTTTTGTTAACAATGATTCATAATCTGCATTTAAAAATTGACATCTTTTACTGTAAACAAGTGCATTTTGCTAGCTTTTAAGCCTTTGATGGTTTAGCTTTTAAGATTTGTCAATAGTTTTTCCACCGCTTTATAAACAGTCACACTTCAAATGAAGATACTTTTTGGAAGATTGTCCATACCCCTTGTCTGAATGTTTATACTTTGATTCAGTGGCGGGGGTTAAGGATAAACATAGCCCAGGACAGAACATAAACCCTCTGACATGTATTCTAGATTTCCTGGATTGTGGAATTTAAGATAATTTTTTCCTGTTTAGAAATGCACGATTTAGGTTTGCTATTTTATTTTTTCACGCTGCATTCAGGACAGCAGCATCATGGAACCTGTAATCTACTTCAGGTCGGAGGCATAAATGTATCAAATGTTACCCACTAAAAATACAAGTAATTCAAGCTTTTCCTTTTCTGTTCATTCATTATTCATTGCCATCAGTCTGGATCCACTTGTGTTAAAGCTTAGCTTCTGGCAGCTGCTCATGGCACACAATGTACTGAGCCACTGAAAATTTGTGCTTTCGTTCTTCTAATAAATCCACTTTTAAGAAAAAACACCACCAAACCAAACATACTTTCTGAGTAAGACCTGGTTTTGTCACAGGTATGCGCTGCTCTTAACACAACATCCAGAGATTCTTCTCTGGTACTACAAAGGAAGAAGTAAAAGGCACAAAAGCATCGATGGGTTAGCCCCATGGATTTTGCATGAAAAATGAAGAGTACTACAGCTATTTTCAGTCTACTGTATTTCTGTGATTATTAGCCTAAACTGTGGCTTTACTAATGGGGGGAGAAGAGAATTTTTCAGAGATTGCAACGGATACTTTAATGCTTACAAGAATGTGCCAGAAGTCAGAAGGACCTAAACCGACATTTTAAAACATAAATTGAAAATAAAAACTGAAGACATTCGCTATTACCTGTTCCTCCCCATTTTCCACAGCCTCAGCTTTCAAATTCTCGATATTTTGTTGAAGTCTCTCCATTTCTTCCTTTAAAACAAAAGGAGTTTATATTGCTTTTAACTGAGGCCTATCCTCTTAACAGGGGGGAGCAAGAAGCTTGACAACATACACCTCTAACAAAAATGTAGAGCTGATTGCACACTTTATATTTAAATTTGTAAGATGAAACAGCATTCCCTGCTTAAGGGTAAGGCATCCATTATTACTCATTACATAAAGCTGTCTGCTTTTATCAAACACAGAAACAAATTTATTTCTTACTTGCAGATATACTAGATCCATCTAAGCCAACTAATGAGCGACATAGAAAATTAAACTGCGGAAGCAAAGGAATATTACAGTAGCAACAGTATGACATGGGACTGCGACATACGGCATTTGTAAAAATGAACGAACCTAAAGTTACTTGCAAGGTAGTTTCCATTACAATTCTTCAGAGCTTTAAAAAGATGAGGAACTCCTAGAGAGAGTTCAGAGGAGAGCAACAAGGATGATTAGGGGACTGGAGCACCTCCCCTATGAGGAAAGACTGAGAGAGTTTGGCTTGTTTAGCCTGAAGAAGAGAAGACTGAGAGGGGATCTCATCAACATGTACAAGTATGTTAAGGGTGGATGCCATGAGGATGGAGCCAGACTCTTTGCAGTGGTGCCCAGTGACAGGACAAGGGGCAATGGGCACAAACTGAAACATAAGAGGTTTCAGTTGAATATGCGGAAGAACTTTACTTTGAGGGTGACAGAGCACTGGAACAGGCTGCCCCAGCGGGGTTGTAGAGTCTCCTCTGGAGATATTCAAAACCCGCCTGGACGCAACCCGCTCAGGTGAACCTGCTTTAGTGTGTGCCATTCTGTGATTCTGTGAGTACATATGGGAAAATGAGGATCCTATGCTCAGCCTATCCCTCAGGGCACTATTTCTTTTTACTTCTTTTCATTTTATCATTAAATCCTATCCAGTACAGTTTAAATAGAAGAGAATGAACTCTTTCCAATCATATTTCTAGGCAGTCCATAAACACAGCAGTAAACAGGACAGCAAAACATAGTAATTAAGTAGTAAAACTGAAATGTGCTCTGAAAACTGCAATAGCTTCAATCTCAGTCTTGTCTCTTTTGGTGGGCTGCTCCAAAGCTAGGGGCCTTCATGAAGCCCTCCTCTTTGGCACTGTACCTCTCCGTCAGGTCACTGTTGGCTGCATTATCCAAGAAGAGACAATCCATTTCAGGCTGTGAAGAGCGCAGGTGGGTATCTAGTACAGCCCAATCTCAAACTTACGTTTTAGTGCTCCCTGTCAACCTACCCCAATGATGATTGCTCTCATCAGAATGGTAACGGCAACAAGGAGAGCCACAGCTGTGACCAGTGCAAGGCTGTCTGGCATTATATGTCTAGGAACTGCCCTTTAATAAAGAGTCCCAGGCACAAGAGAACACTGAAGACCACACTAATTTAGATGCCTAGGCATCCTTCCTTATACCTCCCTGCCTCAGGGTGGGGGCAAGTCCTTCTGGCTAATCCAGTTCCAGCCTTCTTGGTTGTCAGCCTTGTTGCAGATGTGATGCACTGCTGAACTGGGCAACTGTCCGCAATTCTGCCGTGAATCAAGCTGGTGGCAATATTTAATATGAACCTGGAAATACCAGTAAATGGGGCAGGGAGGGCAACAACATGGACACACTTCACGATGACAAATCAGGAAAAAATATAATGCTTATTTACCAGGTTTTAAATGAATCCTTGCATAAGAAACTAAAACTTACCCTACAATGTGCTTTGAACTCTTGCTCCTGGCTTTTTAGGTTTTCATTCATGGCCACCAATGCTCGCAGACTCTGTAATATGCTAAATTTGAAGATCCAGTAAACCACGTTAGACTTTTGTTTTCTAATTTAAACAGACAGAGAACTAAAAGACATTAGAACAAGCCTAGATCTAAATAAATTTCCAATAAAATCTGTGTAAATTAAAAACTCAAATATCACCACTGATACACCAAGGTCAACATAAAAATGTAGTCTTAAACTGCATATTTCGATGGTTTTGCTATGCTCTGACCTCATTACTGTGAAGTTTTGAGAGAGCCTCCTGTTTAATTTAGGTGAGATGAAGGCTTCAAATATGAAGAAAATAAATCAGGAAGGCCTCATCTACTTGTCAAATGTGTCTAGGGTTCTCCTGCTTTAAACACCTACAACTATTTTCAACTAGATTGACACTTTTCATTCTGACTGAATACCATGGTAATATTTTCCTGCCTTTGGAAAGCAAGCTGGAGAATTATTTGATTTCTAAATTTTAGTTATTTGTTTAGGTTAACAAAGCAAGAAACATTGAATGATTCATTTTAAACCCATCATTTTTCAGAATTTCAAAGGTCACAAAGGAAGAGACTTACCTAGAATCTGCTTGGGATTCTATTGTTTCTAAGGCTGCCAATTCCTTGTCCAGCTTTTCACTGTAACTCTTAACCTAAGGGTTGCAATTAATAATAAATTGAAATACGCTTCCCCACATAAAATGATTCATGGTACTCAGCTTTCCCACACCATGGGATCAGTGAGGTAAGTTGTCGGACACCTTTCCCATTTAATACATCCCTCTGCATACAGAACTTCTCAAAAATGATTCAGCTAGAATCAATGCACAGAAAAACAAAGAAAGGTTACCTCGCTTAACGTCTTTTTTGCTTCAGTACATTTTGCCTGCAGATCAGCACACTTAGCTTGCAACTATAATGAAAGAGAAAGAAAAGAGTTTGATTCTATATTCACGCTAATTACACCTGTAATGGAAAATAGCAATATTTGAGCTGTTATTAATGGTTGTCTATTAAACAACAGGCCAATGATCACAAACACTGTATTTTCTTTTCACCTACTCTGAGAGCATTTGATTGCAAGAATTCTGACTGAATATTCAATTAACAGCAGCACACATTTTCCACCTGACCTTCTAGCTGTATTAGGTCCCAGAATAAACAGCAGCTTTTACAAAATGGATGCCAATAGAATGGTACCTTATTGGATAGAATCTCTGCTAAATTGCTTGAAGTTATTTAGCCTGGTTATACTGGCTTAGTTTCACACCAGGCTAAGAAGAGAGTCCCATTTTGTACTTCTCCAAGTAAGTTAGGGTGATTCAACACTTGCATAGAAGCACCATGGCATTACACCATAGACGTGTCCATTCCAAATAAGCAAGCTGGTTTATGATTTTCTTTTGTGTAACTATGGCAAGTCTAGTAAGAAGGCAGTTAAGCAAAACACCACTGGATATTTCACTTGTCAAATAATTTACAGAGGATAATTTTAGCAGAACATCCTTCCTTAAAGTCCTTATGATTTAAGATAATATTGCAAATAGTAACTAGAAAAATGGGATGTGGGTTACAAAAGTGGGGGGGAAGTGTTGCAAAGAAAGGCGCATTTGTCTTTCTGTTCCACTTCTTTTCATGATGGTTTAGTTTGCGGTTTACAACATGGAGTTGTGACTCAACACTCATCCCTTTCCACAGCCAAACTTATAAAAAGAAAGCTTCTTCATTGTTTTTCATATTTTTCACCAATAATTCACCAATAGACTGAATACTAACTAGTTGAAAAAAAATACGTAGTTTAGGTCTGCACTCCACATCTCATGAAAATTGACACAAAGATTAAAGAACTATGTTATGAGAACTCTTGCTGAAACTTACTGCAGTATTGAGGACAGAACTTCACAAACATTTTTTAAATGAGGGTCTTGACTCACTGATTTCAAAAGCTGTCTTTGGCAAGTGGTAAAAAAAAAATTCAGCCTGGAAATTTTTACTTTACTGAAGTGATAAAAGGATTATATTTGGCTTATAGCTGCCACTTCTTTTCTCCCCATACAAAAATATAGCACTGAGACTGGAAATAAGCAACACAGAATTAAAGGGTCCTCAACTGTTAAAATGGCAAATAGCATGATAATATATTTAGAAATAAGTTTTCCTGTGAATTATGAAGTTAGGCAGTTAAGAGCAGATCTAATGAAGTAACAAATCTACCAATTTTGTGTGGTTTACAACCATGTTTCCTCCCCACCCCAAACTGCTCTCTTCTCAGCAGCATGTGGAAAGCAAGCAAATACATTCATTCATATGCCAGGGAAACTGGTAAAGGAAATTACTTGCACTGGGCATGAAAATGTAATCCGTTGAACATATATCTAGTTACAGGCGTATTCTATATCATAATTCACTAGGCACACTGTGCTGCAATTGTCCAGAATATAAGAGCCATCTGCTACAGAAAAAATGCTTTTGAACATTTCAGTCATTGAGACTGCATACCAGGCATTGGCAGATTCCTTCTGCTTTCCAGTTCATAGCAGCATGACACAGAATAGCTGCAAAAGCTACCCACAACTGCTAAGCTCGTTTACCTGCCTCTCTTACCGCTCAACTGGGCAAGAAAGATCAAGGAAACAGCATGGCTGGAGAACTGTGCTAGTGCACATCTTCATTTTTTGAAACCCAAGCTAGCTGTTGCAGTTTCCTCATGCCACTCATACTACACAACTGTACCTGTACAACCAACTTTTGGGGTTGACCTCCCCAAAATGAAGCTTGAGCTAATGGCCTTCAAGAACACGAACTGTTCTCACAATGTGAGGGCTGTGGTGCAGTGTTCCAGTACATATGTACATTCAAACTGAGCATGCCTCCAGTATGTCTACATACTGCCTGCAGAAAAACTGCAGATGGATGTGAGCTGGTAGTCACAACCAAAATCCGTTCAGAATCTGTAGAACTGTACTAGAACATCTTAAACCTGAGCAAACATGCCCCATTCTATAATTGGGCAGTGCTAAACCATTGCCTGTCATAGCAAAAAAGCTTCTTATCTCGAAAACAGGTTTGCAACCCGCTAGCTCAGAGCAGATGCTGAGAGCGCCTGCATCTGTCTCCATTCTACAATATACACACAGCACATCTGTATCTCCCTTCATATGCATTTATCTTACAGCCTTTGTGGTTTAAAAGAGGAGTTAAAACGTGACAGGAACGTACGGCAGTGACTTAGAACACACTGAACATCCTCATCTTTTCCCCAACTTCTGAAATTCCACAGATCTCATTCTGTAATTTGTGTTTGTACTTCAGGAAAAAAAACTCAAACCAACATGGGAATTCACACAGGGTTTAACTGTCTGCAAGCCCATATTATGATTTTGAAAGCCTGACACTTCAGCCTGCATTTAAATGCTAGGTATTGTCAATATTTTTTTAACTAACAGTCATCATCTTGACCGAGGACCAAAGTTATGTTTGACATAAACAGACATGGAAAATTCATATTACGGAAGCGTTAAAAGAATACAAACTCAAGTAAAAAAAAAAAAAAAAAGTATATTTAATTTGAGTATATCGTAATAGCATAATTATTGTATATCATCATAGTTTCTGATATTTCACTCCAGAGTGGAGAGGTATTGTGACAGACATGGTTTACATTCAACATACAACACAAATAATTGTAGTGTTATTGACTATGAAAAAAATGCTATTTTTAACAGATGGGGAATGACAGAGTACAAACAGAAATGCATCAGTTTAAGAAGAATGAAACTAGTTTGGCATATTCCAAAAGAATTGCATTCTAATATTTACCAGTTAAAACACTGTTATACTCTACCCTTTGAAAGTTGGGGTTTTTTTGTGCGAAATAAATTAAGAACTTGTACCGGTTCTTCATAAAGCTTTTCATTAAAGTTGGAAAAAAAGAAGAAACAAAGAAGAGGACAGTCAGTCTTGCCAATTTTTTGTGCATAAGTTTTATTTCTATAGCTTTATTTAAACTTAGTATTACTTGAATGTTTGAGGCTTCAAAAAATGTTTCATAGCATATGCTTTACTGCAAGGACATTAAAGTTTTGAAGGATAAATATTCTTTAAACAAAGACTTTAAAACAGTCTCTAACGGTGCAATATTCTAATTTTAAAAATAAATTTAAAAAAAGCCAGGTCTAGTAAGTGGCTGATCAGGAAGGCTTAAAATCTAGTGCTCCCGTAGTTATACTATAGCGGGTAAGGCTTTCAAAGCTACCGTTCTTTTACCTCTGTTGTTTGTAAGACTGAACATATCACTGTCTCATAAAACATGCCATACAGACACCTGTCTTTCAGAGCCCCTGTACCACCAACATTTAGTAGGTAAAACCAGTTAAAATGTAAGGTGTTAAGACGTTACTGACAAGAGCAGAGCAAAGCAAAACAAAAACCAGATGAAGGCTGCTGGAGCAGTGCTGTACTTGACGGAACATCAACCACAGAAGTCATCAGCAACAGTTCCTCCACAAGTACTATTTGGTTTTCGGCAAGCTCTTCCAGTTACTGACTCTGATGCAATGTTTTCATCAGATTCTGCAAGCTAAAGATGGTATGGTGCTGATTGCAGCCACATGCATAATAAAAAGCAGCATTTCATTAATGGCATAGCTTTTCCACTTACACTTTGCTGGGTTTAAATGGCAATAGCATAAGTAGGTTGAAATACAGGAATGGTGGTTCTTGCTCTTACTTACAGATATGAACAGAACATCAGTCATAAATTCAAGAGCCTTTCCCCGCTAAAACAACTGTGAAGATGTGAATCAAGCAGTGACTGTGCAAAAACACCCCCAAACAAACAAACAAGCAAAAAACCCACCTTAGTCAGTGAGGCAAGCTGGCTCATATAAAGGGCAGGAAGTGATAAACAGTCATTTGTAGCGTATTTTAGAGTAACTTCCTAAATTGTGTCTTGAAACTGTGAAAACAGCCCATTCAACACTATAGCTAACAAGTCAAATGGAGATACTCTGTTTTTCTCCAAGAGAAGTATGCAAAAAGAAGTAAAAGCATATTTTTGGTTAGCTAGGCCCCTCCTCACAGATAGGGCTATACAATTTTTTAATATAAAACCAGCCACATTGTCTTAGTAATAAATGTGCAAGCAAGACATTCAGAGACACTGGAACGAACGTTCAGCATGACAAATTGCTGGTACAGAAGATAGCTTGCAAATCTTTTCTGGATGGCAAAAACTTTGTGATCAACCACATTTATCAATGTTTTCTTCTTTATTACACACACAATACCTACCTCTTCCAGGAGTTTGGTTTTTTGCAAAATCTGCTTATTCAGAGATGCCACCTTCCTTCTATGTTGTTGGGCAGCTCCAAGCCTTTCTGGTCGCTCCTCAGCGGAAAGTTCAGACTGCTAAAATAAACAATAACAACAGCCTGTTGGACCTCACACCCTTACTTTTTGCTTCTTCAGTAGCTCAGGAAATGCTAAAGTAGGGCACACCTGAGAGATTCCTTACCAAGGACAGTGCCCCACTATCCAACAGAAAGAATGACTTGCTGATTTATCTCACATCCAAGATAAGGAAGCAGCTGAACAACTGAATTGTGTCCCAAAGGTAACAGGTAAAGTAAGCTAAAACCAAATTCAGGTGATGTGGGATGAGCAGAAAATACTACGGTATAGTAAAGAACTAATTTTTTACATCAGCATTACAGTTAAACCTGGTAGAGTTCTTAAACAGAAAAAAATACAAACGTGCTAAAAACCGTCTTAAGCAGTGGTATTTACTGAACTTCTTGAATCAGAGATGCCCCATACCCCGATAAATAGATCCAGAACTTTTGAAAAAGCCTTGAAAAATTGTGTATTTAGATTCTGAAATACTGGCTTGGACGCATCTTTATGCTGAATGACAATGACATACTTAGTGTGGTAGACACATTTACCACTCTAAATGTTTTTTTTGTGTGTGCGTGTGTACTATGGACACCAGTCTTTGAAAACCACTCAATCCAGCATGCATTGCCAAGAAAGTGTCTCATAAATACGTAATGAAGACAGCAATCTGGATCCAGTCTCCTGTTCTCTCTGAATTGTGAAAGGAAAACTGCCAGAAACATTCTTTACCAGCAACAACACTTATAATATTAGTTGTATATTTGCAGTAGACAAAAGAATGATTAAAAATCAGTGATAGCTGGATGTCTAAGTGATTATTTGCCTAAACATTATTTGTACCTTTTGAAAGTCCTCACTTTAATACTTATATCCACCTATTTTGATAATTTGCTTCATGCACTCAAGACTCTTTTTCCAGCTAATCCATTTTCCAGTATTTCATTAGAAAAAGTTAATTTTCAAGTATCAGTGCTAATTTGCAGAGTCTGTCAAAGGCTTCAATACTAAGTGCTTTTTGAATAATTACCAGATGCTGACAACCACTACAATGTATAATCAGTCAAAGTGTACAAGAAATACGAAATACTCCTCACTCATATTTGCTCCTGGTATCCACTCTAGGCAGATGGGTAAGCAGGTCTTCATTAACAGCTTAATTTTAAATGAAAATAAGAGGCAAAACCTGTCTTCCTCTTCTCTATTTTTCCATGCTACTTGTATTAAAGAGCAGCTTAATGATTTGTTATGCTTTTACATCCACAGCAAAAAAAGACCAATTCTGACATCCTAACCCAACAATTCACGTGCTTTCTTTCCATTTATTAGGAAAGGAAAAATACCTCTAAGCAACACCTGTAACACTGAACTATTCAACACCTAGACACTCAGATTAACTTATCCCTCTCATTATTTAGCCAAATCACATTCCTTCATCATGTCATGCATTCTAAGACCCTATCCTTCTCACCAGATGATTAGCCTATCTAATATGCATAACATGCAAATCAAGAAAACTGGAAATGCAAGAGAAAGAAACATGAGCTAAACCAGTCTGAGACTGATCTTGCAAAAATAGTAAAAATCCATACAGTACAGCTCTGGCATAAAGAAAAGCTCATGTCTCAAGAAATGGACTGTTAAAGCTTGCTTTTTGAAAATGGGAAATAACCATCACTGGAACACAGAGGTTTCTGCAGAAAAATCTGTCTGGTCTGCAAATGAAAAAGCTAGGGTTAAGCCTCGTGCTGTCAAAGTGGGCTAAGGATCTGCTCTGCAGCAACACTACATCTTTAAAGCTACTGAGGAATTGGGTTCCAATTTGTGGAGAAAAATGCATCTCTCAGCATAGAAGGAAGAAAGCACAAATTATAGAAGCTACTTTGCTTTTGACACTATTGTTGTTACCTGGTCTCTTACTAAACTGAAACAGCGGTTGCCTTTTGAACATAATTTAAGAAAGCTGTACCTGAACACTAGTGCCTCTGTTTAAGATTATCAATTCGGTACTCCATCTTAAGAGAAGAACTTCAATTACACATGACAAAAAGGGATCTATGGATACATCCTTCAATGCTTCTGTTAACACACGTTATCCCCACCACTGACAGGTGTAGACTCACTTCTGCATTCTTCCCCATTATCTGCAACTGCCCAACAAAGATGTAGCCAATTCAAATAAACAATTAAGAAGTGTTAGTAGCCTCATTTTCTATGACAGAATTTGTTAAGTTACAATGCCACATTAATTATGCAGGAGGATCACTAATCTATGGCAGCTCAAAAACTGCTAGACAAAATAAAAGGCTAATTCTAGACTTTAAGAGCCTGCCTCCCACTGCTCACATGCAAAAGTTGCAAATGAGAAGGAGGAAGGAAATATATGCAATTAATGTTATTCTTTGTAATGAGATTCTCTCATACACATCAGTGCTATAAACTTTCCAATAATTAAAGAAAGAGAATTCAATCATTAGAGAACTTCACATTCTTTAAAAAAAAAAAAGAAAAAAAAAAAAAGAGTCTGCATACAAAAATACAAACTTTGTAGCAGTAAGTGCTTTTGTTTATCTCTTTATGTTCAACCACCTTCTACTGGAAAATAATTTCCAGAGCTTTAGATCTGTGACTAACTCCATCATAGCTGCCTCAATTTGAAGTCCACTGTTTGAAGCCCACTGCAGGGGGTGGTGGGTGGTGGTGGTGGTATGTGTTCCATATAGATCTTTAGCATGTCAGTCATTTCCATGTAATTTGCTGTCATTTTCAATTGATGCTTTCCCAAGGTTCAGGAACCCAAAGATGCAAATCACTGCATCTCACTTTATCTTCGAGGGTTTCCTCAAACCAAAAAAAAAAAAAAAAAAAAAAAAAAAAAAAAAATACCCAATTCAGTATCTCCTTTGAACAACAACCCTTAACCATACTAAATGGTTGAAATGCTTATTGTATGCTACTTCAACTGACTGTGTATGGTGCATAGTAATCTCTGATATAGGATTCTAGAAGTCCAAAAATAGTCCGAATCAGCCTCTCAAGACATAAGTAACTTGCAAACAGCATTTTAAACTGTTGAAGAGGATTCTCATTCAGGCATTTTTGAAGGGGATAGTTTTGAGGAAGCACTCCTCTAGTTTTAGTCATTCTCTCATTTTACCAGGGAACAAGCTTTTTCTCCTATTCTACTCCTAGCAAAACCACTTCTTGTATATAACTATACTTGTAAATTCTCAGAGGAAGAATCCTTCTAACACAGTAAAATCAAAGCTACTTTCAGTAATTAGCTTTAGAAAGCTGGTGATGAACAGACAGATAAAAGCCATGTTAATAATCTTCTGCCAGGATTTTACAAAGTGAGGAACGACACTAGAATCTTCGTTTACCCAGCAAGTTAACACAGCAGCAGAAAGGAGGGGCAAATGCAGAACAATGTATGAATTGATCTTACGCAAAAATGCCATCCTGTAAGCAAGATCCTGGCACATGGCAACATCTTATCTAGAGTTTCGTTTGCCAGCTATCTTCACTGGTCCTGTGTGGAATCTATTAAGACTCTGGTAGACAAATAAGCACTGCTGTGTTCTTCAGACTATGTACAGTTACAAGGGGTTAAAGTTATTAGAACTATATCCAAATATTTCTGATGCTTCAATAAACTGTTTGATAACATCCTTAATTCTCTTTTCCTGGTGCATGCATGCACACACGGAAGTTTTTTTCTTTTTTTTTGTCACATTCAATAGATTTGAAAAGCGATATATTGTTGGTATGACTTGAATCAGTTCTTACTTTCCAGAGTATTAATCATTGCTCTACTATAATAGTCAAGGTCCTGCTGCCTTCTCTCAGAACAGAAGAAATGTAACGTTGAAATATGACCCTTGTGCTTCTGTTCTTCCAATCCTTTATAATAAAGAAAGGCCAAGAATTTGCTATAGACTCTGTTGAGTTATAGGGTTTATCTCCCAAATGGGAAAGCTCCATACCTCATATGTGTCAACAAAAAGGAAGAAATATGAGAAGACTATTGGACAAATAAGAGCGACCTATAACTCATATCTGGCAGTGATGTATTGTATGTATTAATTGCTTGAAGAGCCAGATTTTCTTTTCACATTACCGTAAAAACAATCACAGCTGAACACAATAAATGGAGCTAATATACACAGTTAATTGCCTTGACTTCTAAAAGCAGCAAAGGCTTGGTTTTGATGATACTAGATTCAGAACGAGAGATCCAGGACATGACTGATAATTCGAGCCCAATATAAGTAAGATCCCAGTGTCTGAAAATCCGAGTGGAGGCGGCCTAGATTTTTCTCTGGGCAGGCCCCCAGAACTGTATTTCTGTGCTTAACACTGAACATTTTAAAATGCGTTAAGAGTTTAGACCTCTGGTTTGAATAGGTATCAACCCAGGACCTTCTTTATTCATGAAAACATTTAAGCAGGTGCTTAAATCCAAACTACTCATGAATGCAATCCATAAATATGTGCTGTCACACCAAAAGCTTGTGTGTATTTAAATCTCATTAAAATACTTTCCTGAATCCTGACTGTGCTGTTATCCACAGCATATATGAAACAGTCTTGTTTCTAGAGAACCATCAAGAGCAATTAAGTTGGAAGCTTAAGGCGTAAATTAACAAGCTATCAACACGACTTGGTAAAACATGATCAGGTAACACACTTACCTTTTCAGCGTATTCTGACACTATTTGCTTGATCTCATCTGACTGGAGTCCAACAATCTGGCCAACGGTGCTTGCTGTCAACTTTCCCTGCAATTATGTCAAGAAAATGTTTGGAGTTTTGCAACTGCCTGTGCTTTTTACATGGCAATTACCCCAAGCTTTAATATTAACAGAAATGTACAAAACCTTTACGCTGGCTAAAAATCTCTAATCATAAAAAAAGACCAAGAAACATTCCACCCCAAAAAAACCCTTCACTCATGGAAATTTCTCACTTACAGCCTTTTAGCAAACAACAGTGGAAATCTCTCACTTACAGCCTTTTAGCAAACAACAGTGGTAATCTGAATTCAGATATTCAAAAGCTTACTTCAAATTGTATTCCGTGTACTGAATTTTGCATGCACAGTAATAAAATTCACTTTTAGACCACATTTTGAGCCAAACTATAACAATGCAGACATGTGAAAGAATGCACCTTTCAGATTGGATGCATGTACAAAAACAATCTTCAAATAGAACTGAATTCTACAGTGGATTTCAGTAGAAAGCATGTCAATCAACTTTGAGACTAGACTAATTACTACCTTTTCTTCTGTGACTTCAGCATAAACAGAAACAATGTTTTAACAACTGAATTTCTTCCCAGTCCTCTCACCCAGAAATCAAAATGTAAGAATTTTCAAAATTACAACAGCCTAAAAGTTCCATTGTATCAATGACTACAACCAATTAAGAATTTGAAAACAAGATACATACCCAGTATTTTCAGTGTCTTACGCTAATGGCGGTGTTGCTAAATATTTATCAGTGCTTTGAAAAACACCTCGAAACGCACACGATTTTCCTCCACTCCCCCCCCAAAAATGCTTACTTCTCTGGATACCTTCACAAGATGAATAAAGTAAGATCATACTGCATCTTGGGTTGCTGCAGCATGATGCCTTTCCCCTGAAATTCTCCTTGTAGAAACCATTTGAAAGAGGCCCTTATCCGTATTGCTTTTAACAATTTAAGACAAATGATTAAGTCATCAGCTTCATAAAAATTACTGTCTTCCTAATTCAACCATCTTTTTTTGCACTCCCTTAATGAAAATTTAAATGCAATCATTCCAAGACTTCTGACTCACCATTACCCCAATTTTAGTAATAATTGCCATAACCAACCATAATTTTAAAAAGCTGTATTAGTTTTAAATGCTTCTTACCTCTTCTGTTGCCATTGCAGCCATTCCAGTCATCAGAGTTTTAATGCGAAGCTATGGCAAAATATGAGAAATTACACGTTAACAGTTTATCTTTAATATTTCACTTATTTCTGCCTCGTGACAGGCACACATGTATACAATTAGTATCATATAACATGTCTTTTAATGAATGTAATGGGACAGTAAGTCTATAAAAGTAAAAGAAGAGGTGGCTAAAGTTATCATACAAAGGAAAATTCCTCATAACAGTACAGGTTCACTCAGAGTATTCAGCTCCCGCTATCAGCTGAAAACTGACCTCTTAAAAATGCTTGGATTCCACAAGAAAAGTTGAATTTTTTGGCATTAAACATTTAATTTTGTCCATCAATTTCAGGTTCCATATTCTCCTGCGTGAAGCAACTCCCACTTCAGCTAAGCATGAAAATTCTCCTTCTTGCAGGGAATGACAGGGCAGTGATAACTGTTCCCTCCCCCCAAGTTAGTAACATCCATGCCTACTGTGTATATGGCACACCTCTTCAGCAGCCTGAAGGTCATCTTCATCACAAGGCTCAGCTTTTCCTGATGCTGCAAGCCCTGGAGGTAGCGCAACTTTTTTATCTTCAGCCTTTTAAATAAAAATTAAGAAAATATTGTATCTAGTTCCAGTAATCTAAAGTATTAAGGAAGACAACAAGGAGAAAACTGGAATACAGCTGTTCTGGTTTTATGAACATGTTAGCTACTGAACATCCTCACATTCCAATTCACGCCAACTGAGGTGAAACCCTCACTGACTTCATTAAGCATTCCAGCTGTTCAGTGTCTCTGGCTTGCTATGGACACATTTGGCCCAAAGATCCTTTATTCCACAACCTTCTAAGAACTACCAACCTCACAAGGCCAACTGGCTACCCCAGTTGCCTGCTATATAGAAGAAAGATGATTTTTTGTGTGTAAATAATTTTTTATAACTTAAGATAATTTAATATCAGTATAACAAACATACAACATAAAAAAGCATAAAATTTCATAGTTCATTCAGAAGAATTCATACCACTAAAATAATGAGAACTGGCAACAGACAGATTAGATTTCCAGGTCACTCTATTGCACCGCTAACCTGACTATTTCATCTTCCACTTTTGCTTTACTGGTAACTCAATTCACACAAAAAACATGATGACCTTCTAATAGATGATATTCCAAAGTCGGTAAAATTTTTGAAGAAACAAAATGAACTCTGTAAACATGACTGGAGCTTGGCAGTTACTTTGAGGGGAAAAGGTATGCCTTGACTTGGAAACATCTCCATTTATAAAATTTAAATGCTAAATTGGTAGGCAAAATATTGAGATAAAGAAGGGCAACCTTAATGTACTCAGTGTATTGCTGGGTCCCTGACACACTTAATGCATTTCTTCATTACCTCCGTTTGTAATAAAAGCTTGTAGCCAAAGTAGTATCTGCACTGACATAATAAAACTGCAAATACTTTGACAAGGACATTTTATGATTCCATAATCATCGGAAAGCATAGCAAGGATGCTACTTTTCGAGAGGCACTATGATTTATTTATGGCATGGTATCATATTTCTCTATCACATCAAATAACCTGTTGTGTAATAAATGCTTACAAAATTTCTTACCAAGCTGAATGGTTCTTTAAAAAGAAATAGAAAAAACTATTTTAAAATGGATCACATCATGGAACACTTTGTTAAAAGGTGCTCATTAAACAGACAGGATATGTTCATTACCTCACATTAAAAAAGAAACCAAACTGAACCCCCAAACACCCTTTCTTCTAAGTGAAAAATGTTTGCAAAATGTGATCTTTGAGTACAGATGAAGGAAATGTTTTAAAAAAGGAGATAGTAATCAACTGTATCTTTCATGGCATACAGATCTTTAGTTTCAGTTAGCCATTTTTAAAAGCTGGTAGTAACAGAAGTTATAGCTGTTCATTCTGTTGTATTCCTTTAAGATGTTACAGTAACCAACACTCCAACAAAAACAATGCAATTCTTCCTATGATATGAATGCTTAAAATTAATATATTTTTACCTGTTCTGTTTTCCCTGCTTGTCTGCTAAATCCGTATCTCCTAAAAGAACAATAGTAACATGAAAGAAATACATTATTGTTTACAACTTCCACAAATAAATTAAGTTGTTATCAGTTTTCAACATAAGAAATGCACTAAAAAGTGAATCGTTTCACAAAACCAACAGACGGGTTCAGGTTAGCTTTGGAATGCTTCAAATAAATGAAACAAGCAGGTACTGCAGCATATTTACAAATAATTTCAGCTCCATCTACTCCTTCCATTATGATTTGCAAATCTAGGCTGTTCATAAAATAGTGTCATGTAAAGCCCATGTGAGGAAAAAGCAATGCTCTCTTTTGATTTGGAAGTTAATCCTCAGCTACTAGCTCTATACTTCCGAATTCTGGAAAGGCCTCAGGAAGTTGTCAGTGCAATCTCTGCTCCTCATAAAATATTCATGCTTGTGTGCTTTGATGAATCTTCAATTTCTTTCTGAAGCATGGCATTCAGAGCTTTTAATATACACTCAAATAAACTTTTTTACTTCTGTTTTTTTTTGAGGGAGAGGAAAAATTGACGTTTGAGTTATGTTGTTAGTTTGGAAATAGTATCTTAAAGAAATAACAGGTAGAAATAAATTATGGAAATGAGTAAGCAATCATCTTCAGTATTACGAAGCACTAAACCCAGCGCGTACACAGATATAAAAAGTCATGTTCCTGATTGACTAGCTTGCGGCTACAACTGTTTAATTCCTTAACTACTGCAGAAGCAGGACTATTTACAAGCCTTTAATGGCTAAAAGTTAAGTGATCCTCAGCAGCAGTATCAATTGTCACCAGTTCTACATGTATTCAACACTCTTACTTTAGAGGTAAATTCAGTTGTACTTCATTGCAGCATAACACCAAGTTTTCAAGAATTCCCCAACATTAAGTTTTCTCTGCATTTTAACACTTAGCAGTACAAAGAACGTGGCAGAGCACTACCTTCCCACAGAGTATGCATAAAGTTGTATTAGTATAAAAGCATTTATAATCAGTATTGCAATTATTGTATATCTGTTCTCGCTTTGGTAGGAGCACAATTTTATTTTCACACAGATGGTTGCATCCAAGTAATGAACTGCATCAGAACAGCAATAACAAAAACTTAAACATCAGTTACACCAACAGAGAACCCAGATGCCTCCCAGGCTTAACATTGCACTTCTGTTATAGGAACTGACTTTGTATTTTGCCAAAAACTGATTGATAATATGCAAAGATGTGGCAACGAAAGCCCTTAGTTGAAACAGGCTATGCAACTGCATGGACAGATGCTCACTGGCTCTCAAGCCAGACTCCTGCCTACCACATTGAAGCTCATTTGGGATAAACTTTAAGCTGGAGGCCACAGGATCAAAAACCAATTTAGAATATGGCATAATCACTGGCTGTATCTGAATAACGCTGCATTTGGCATCAGGACATTGCAAGACCCTAGACTATTTGCTGGACTAAGAAAATTAACTTTTATGATTAGTGTTCTCTGAAAGGAGCCGTTTCTATGATAGCCAAGGGGTATTTCAAAAGAAAAAAAATCCTCTACTCACCATTTTCTATGAATGCCATCTACACGCAGTAAAAGAATGAAAGGTTCACTTTAACTGTTTGAATTCTAAAAACATTCAACGCTACCCCTAAACCTACCAAAAATTTACTATTTGCCTTTTTCAGCAGTGTTCTGGTGCCCCTAACACTGTCGAAGACTGAACAGTAATCCCTACTGCCTCCAGAGATTTCTGTATGCATCCGAGTCCTTGTACTCGTCGTTTTATTACTAGGCTCACAGCAGACACACTGTCATCCTCCTTAAGAGTTTCTTTGTCTACTAAAACATATGAACCAGACATTTTGTGTGGCTCACTACTGTAATTTTCTCAGATGTTCTTTATTTTTGCATTATATCAGAAAAGTATGTCTGACCAAGAGTATAAAGAAGTCATTATGAAAGCATTACCAAAACACATTAAAATCTTGCAACTATCCTAATTTTCTCCCACTTCCATTCATGTTAAGCTTTTCACACCAAATAAGTAACTGTATTTGTCTTCTAGTAAGTACTGTCCTTCATTCATATTGCCAATTTAAATAATTGGTCCAGTACGTCTTCTGTCAGACTCCATGCCCTCCTCCCCACCAAATACCTCCTCTGCATTTGTTCTTCTGCTATGACTCTGCAATGTCATCAAGATCATTCCAACAAATACTGTCTTGAAGATGTATTTTCCTTCCACAAATTCATAACTTCTTTGTGATCTTTCTTACTGGTCCCAAACCAATCCTCTATAGAAAACATCTATTTATTTCAATTTTCAAGCTATATACTCATTTCCAGTTTTGCCTTTTAAAAAAAAAAACAAAAAACAACAAACAAACAAACTAAAATTACTCTAGAAAAATCATACACAAAAATTCCCTTCAACTGTATAAACTATTTTATACTCTTTTTATTTATTAGGTGTCTATTGACACCAATATGTAGTGATGATACTGAAGCAGTACAAGAAACTATAAACAGACAGGATAGGAGTACCCCACTTCGTTTTTCCATACCAGCTCTTTGGATTCCCATTGTGAGCACTGATGAGATATCAACAATCTGATCTAAATCTAAAGATTTCAGCATGCATGCCTTTCCCTGAAGAGTCAGGGAAGAAATCCACGTGCCAAGTAGAATAATCCCTGACACTGTCACCAACTTGCAAATTCAATTTTCATTGGGGAGGGAGGGATTGGACTCTGAAATGAATAAGGTAAATCAAGCCTAACTCTTAATAGTTTTAGAAAAATACTAAGACTCATTCAAGACTACAGCCCACAGAATTTGTGAATGCTGTGTTAATAAAATCAGCTGTTTAACATATATAGACATATATATATTAACATATATAGACACTGTATGTCCTTGTAGCACTCTCCATTTTGAACGCATTAAGCTCAATACAGTAGCCAGTCATCTTAGGCTTTTAAATCACCTTACTATACTTCAGATAACTGCACTGAACTCCACTGGTAGCGGAAGGAGGGGAGAAGTGCTACAGTTAACCATTTGTATATAAAGTTTATGCAACGTCAGAAGAGCTCTGCTGAGTAACAGGACACCCAGATGTCTCCCAATAGTTTCATTCCACTAGGAACACACAGAGGATTTCATCCCACTTTAATGGAAAAAAGATGTTAATTTGTCCATGCTGCCCTCACAAAATACCACCATGAATGAACGGGAAGATTATAAGCAATCTGCAACCAAGACACTTGCCGATTTCAACTGTGTGTCAAGACAAATGTGCAAAAAGGGTGAAAGGAAGGTACTCAAAATAACGAGACAAAAAACAAAACCAAAAAACTAAAACCCACCAAACAACATCCAAACCCCAAAACCCCAAAACAACCCAAAAACCCCTATGGCTTTGAGGGAGAAGGAGCCACAGAAGATACAAAACCAAAATCAAATGTCATTCGCACTCATTAAGTACTAAGATCTCAGACAGCAGACAAGCTGTCCATATTACTAACTATGAAAAGAAAATTGGAAAGAGAAACTAGAAACAGAAACTCTGCAACGTTATTTTTATGTGTTTGGAGAGCTCTCAGTACACCAGAGGGACTTTCAAAGATAATAGGTAAGTGCAAACCTTGGTAACTTCGTCTCTACGTGGAAGTTTGCAGAAAGTAAGAAGACAAAGCACTAAACCATGGTTCAGCCTCCTGATGTAGCAACCACATCAGAACTACAAAAAGAAGCAGTAACAACTTCAGCTCCTTTTTTTCCAACTTTCCAGGGATTGCTTGCAAAGAGGCAATATTGATTGGCAGACACTACCTAGAAGCATCATGAATTTATGCCATTTTTATGAAGCCAAGAACAAGTATGTTAAAGAAAAATGTCCTACTAGCAGCATAAAGTCAGAACTTGGGTTCCCATTGTACAAAATATTGTTCACATGTGAGGACTGTCCAGTCCACAGAGAATTCACAGGGTAAGCAAAAAAATTCTGAAATCAAACAAGAGTAAATCTAAACAGTTGGATTCTCAAGTAGTAGAAAAAAACTTCACAATCCAAATTTTATATGGAATGCTTCTAAATACACACAATACAAAACCCACAGACAATTAAACAAAGCCTTTCACCTGCCATATTCCAGAAGTGTAGCATGAACCTTCGATTCCTCATCTAGCAGTTCGTCAGCTCCCTTCTGACGTTTATATTTTCTCTGTGGTTTGTAAACCTCCTGTAAGACAGTGAATGAATTCAGAGCTTGTAAAAGGCCTTTCTAAAATAAACAAAGAATTGTTATCTAGAGTGATATATACCACTGTTTGCTTTCCAACTCAATATACTTACCCAAATAAACATCCTTCACTTTCTCTTTTTGGAATTACATGATAAAATCTTACTGAATTTGCTTCTAAACAATTTGCTATGGGACCTGTCTTTCCAGTTTTTAAAAAAAAAAAAAAAAATTATAAATGGGCATTTAACAAACAAGATTTCTTCTACCATCTCCTCCACCATGTTTGAAAGAAGAGTCAAAACCAACACAATCAACATCTATTAAAAAAAGTTCTATGATTTAGCTGATAATGCCAGTCTAGAAATGTTAACTCCTTTACACATTAATTCGTTTTTAATCTTTTATTAGATAACTATAGGTAATTGTTATCTACTCAATGATCACAGGTTACAATGGAATTAAAGCAGATTTTATTGCAATTTCAGAAACAAAAATATCTTAAGAAGTTTGATACTAAAATTATTTGATCTCATTCTATCCCAATGTGATCATATAGCTGGACAACAGCCCATCAAATAAAACAAGGATTCATAAGTACTATTTTGTGCTGATAGAGCTACTTCCAATTTGAAAACAAAATGGGAACAAAAGCATAGAGCTGCTACCCTGACTGTTAACATAGACACAACTGTTATAGCACTGTAAATCTGGCCTACTTTGAAGTACATTTTTTCTTCCTCCTTCCATATATAGATCAAGTATTCCACTATAAAAGTCTATATAACAACATTAGAAAAATTATTCTGCCTCAAGCACAAACAAAACAAAACCAAAACCCAAACCAAACAAAAAATAATTATGAGATCCTCAGCTTTCCCCAAATTAGAAATTGGAACCAAGATAACATTTACTTTGACTGAAATTATTTTTACTGGTTTTTTTGGTGAAAGATTAGGATGCAGTGAGTCTGTAATGCAACATTTCTGTTACTAGAACCTAGATTTTTAAGTTAATTGAAGTTTAGCATTTAGTGCTATCCTGCTAGCAAGGATACTGAAGAAAACTAACCAAGAACTTGTGATCTCAAAGATATTTTTTCTTTACTCCAACTGTTATTTTTTAAAAAGTGTCCCCCCCAATCAATGAGATAGCATTTTCTCTTCTCCTTTTTCTGAAATGAAATTCCAGCCCTGATAACAGCAGATACAGCATCAAAAAGGAACACTCCCCTCTTCTGGTCTGTTTTATATTCATATCTCTTAAATCCTTTGAAGGCCAGACTCAGAATGCTTAGAACAAATACATTACAAAAGCAGAAGTTGAAATCAAAGCTACATTTCTACATTTAACTTCAGAAAATCCTGTTCACATGGGACAAAAGATTCAATGCAAGAGGTTGCAAAGATTATGAAAGAAAATAAAAAAGGAAGATTTTTGCTTGATCTGACTTTTTGTACAATACAAACTATTACTTGCAACAAGCAATTCCTGCACCATAACATTGCTGAAATAGCTTTCAACCTTTTTCGAAGGCATGTAATCCCAAAGGACAGATTTCAAACAATTGAAAATAGACAGTATTCCTTGGCGAGTTTCTCCTGAATTTCTAAGTTACCCTTTGTGATTTTTACTTCATTTCTAATCTGAATTTCTCTCATCTTGGTTTCCAGCTATTAAATCTTGCTACATTTTTGCCTGTCACATGGAAAAGCTTTTTATGATCAAGAATCTCCCACAAAATGTACTTTCACACCTACGGAAAAGCAATGTAAGTCATAAAAGTAATTATAGCTTTTATGGTGCCATTCTGTATTATACCTGTGCTATATAAAGTGTAGGCATCATACCATAAACATTAGTCTTGGCATCAGATAATTGATTAGCTGAACAAAACCACTTCAAGATAATCTCAATTCACTAGATAGTCACCTTTCAGTGGCAGTAGTTCTTATTCCAATAACCATTACTGATATTTAATATTCCCTTTTCTAACCTTTAGGCCTGCTTGTGACCATAAATCTCATTGTATTGTCCCCTTGAGAAGAGCAGGGTAAGTCCTTAGACCAGAGTTGTTATAATGAATTCAGACAACAGACTAATCTTTCACACTTGCTGGTCCTCTTTTAGGAAAAGCGGATTTCTGTTCCAATTCCAATGCATAATGATTTGAAGGTGACCTGTGAAAGAACCTTCACCTAGTAGCTGCCTTCTCCCTCTTCCAGTTCCTATGGGTAGCTAGGAAAGCTTCTGCACTTTCTCCCCTGAAAATTCACTCTGCGTGATCTTCTAGACTGCACTCTTGCCTTGATGCCATAAGAGATCTCATGAACTAGTCTTTCATTAAGATCAGGTGCCAGCTGTAGAGGATATAATCCTGACAGAGCTCATGTATTTAAGGAAGAGGTGTTTGTCTAACGATACCCTGAGCAGCGATGAACAAATGTCAAAACTTTATCTACTGTGAAGATGCACCTAAAAACTGGAGATCTGTGATCCAGAGGAAAAGACAGAATACACCTTTATCAACCCTGCAGATAGAAATACTCAGATATTCAGACAGGCTAGCTGAATGGTGCAAAATACTATCAAACTTTTAAGACTGTACCTTGTTTTCCTTGCTTTCCATTACCTGTTTCATTCTTGGACCCTGAATATGAAACTATTCCCTTAGCTGCAGAAGTATCTGATTCCAGGACCACGACTTAGGAATTTTAAAGTAAGAGCTCCGATATAGTGGGCAAGCAAAAACCAATTCACTGTCTTCAACCAGCAAAGAAACACCTGCTCTGGCATACATGTACCTGCTTCACCTTTGCCATGTCATTCTATTCCAGGTCTAAAAAGCAATTTCAGAAAACACGCAGGTAGATATGTAAAAGAAACTCTACCAAGCACCATGGGACTTTGGACAAGGCACTCAAACAGACCTGGCATTTACTAGGTAACTGCACACTGAAAGTAGATTGTATTCCTTCTTTTCAGACACGTTCTCTCAAATAAATGCATTAATGAAACAGGATAAACTTGAAAAAACAAATTATTAGAACATAAAAACTAAGCCTTGAAATCACTTCTGTTCCTTAGCAACCAAAGGAATCCTTTCATCACTGTTAATCAAGTATCTTCTGGGTTTTTGTAAATGACATTAAAAATCCTAGGTGTCTTGTAATAGCATTTTAATTACTTTGTTTCTGTCTCTTCAGCGAGAAGGTATCAGCCACTTGGATACAGAATCTTCAGTGCCATTTGAAGACAGCAGGTAGAAAACGGACACACTTGAAACACTTGAAAAATTAGGAAAATTTTTCTGAAAATTGAAAATGAGCAGAATCTCAATGAATTACAAGTGCTACTTGATACAACACACATTTTCATTTTTTTTCCCTACATTGGTTTGCATTCTCTGTCGATTTAAAGGGTTATACAGGTGCACAAACATGGCAGCGTCATGTTCCCCACCCCCCTTGTTGGTAAGCAATAACCACCACTGGGGGTGGTGATGGCTGCATCCAGCTTATGCTGGACTTTGGGGAAGGATGGCAACACAAAAGCCAAGGGCTGTCTGGAGCGAGGACCCAGACCTCCTGCCAGTATGCCACTATGACTATCGGTTAACCATCTTACTCCTTAAACAGCGGACAGCCCAGGGCCCGCTGAGCTTTTCTGCATGGCAGCGGGCTGCATGCCAGGATCTCCCCTTCAGTAGGGATGACTCTGAAGGTTACTCCTCCAGGTTGAGAGAATCCTTATCGCCTCAGATCCTCACTAAGTGACTAACAGCACGCTGAACTCTGAAATCTTAGCAAAGTGATATAAAGGATTGATTGTGCATGTGTAACCCTTTAGACATAAACAGTTGGTCAAGTCTGGGAGTAGGACTAGATCCAGCCACACCTAGATTCCCCTCAGAGAAGGAGTTTAGAAAGCAAGGGTGTCCTTTCTGAACCTTATCACTGAACGGGAGGGTCTCCCTGACAGCTTTGTCTGACCCTGTCCTCTGTGCAGTAAATAATCAAGGGTACCTTGCCACCAAATCTTCTTAAACCACTGTTGCATTTGCCACTGAACTTTGTTAACTCACTGGTTTATATCAATAAAGTATATTGTTGCTCCTCTCTTAGGAGTTAAGTGCACTCCATCCGCAACAAAACAAAACAATACCACCCATTTACTTGTAAAACAAAACAGATATCACTGGAAAGACAAGTATTGCTGGTTGGAGTAAAAGACTCATTGTAAGTCTGCTAATAATTAAAAAACCCCAACCAAACCATGGGGAACAACAGTTAAGAGACTATAATTGAAATTTTCAAAGCAAGAGTAATTATTCAAATAGATTAACAAGGGATTTGCATTGGTCACCACCTGCAGACTTTCATAGCACTGTTTTTTCTATAAACATACACTGTAATTCAACCACATATATTAAGCTCAGCAGCACTCAGGTCATTAACATGGAAAACCAACTACCTCCAAAACATGGCAAATGACTAAGATGACTGGTCTGGTCCGTTATGCAAGCTATCATATAGCTCCTTATACTGGCACTTAACACCTCTATCCATGGATGAAGAGTTTAGGGTGTCTGGCCAGAGCTACCTGAAATAGCATTGATTTTCTCACAAGAGTGGGGTTTCACCATCTATTGAAGAGCCTTGGAAGAGTCCCATTCAAAGCATACCCAGATTTCTCATCCCTTGTCAAATGCTGGCCTGTGAATTTATCAAGATTGTTGAAAAAAAAAAAAACCAAACAAACAAATGTAGAGAACTGTTGAAGTCAGCAATGGTAAATTGACAGCCATAAGCAAACAGGGAAACTGGAGAGAAAGCAAGGACAGAAAGTCAAGTTGCTAGCTTGGCATCTGAATTCAGGTATGAGACAGCCTATGTATTTTACATGTCACTCCAGGTAGCGTTCGTGAACAAGCTTTCAAAAAATATAAAGTTTATCCAAGAGTTAGAAGATCTGCACCTGAAGAGGGAAAACACAAGTGATACCACCTTTCCCAACCAACCTTTGCTACATTTCCCAAGTAGGGTGTGTATCTTCATTGCTAATGACAAGAACTAAAAAAGATAAGTTCTGAAATGCAGAGGAAGATCATTGCCATTCTGATTAATTTCAACATAAATAGTCCAACGGCTGATAGCTTCAAACAAACACTTAGTCTGCTAGGGGTTTAATAGCCTGTAAGCTACCTTGCAACTTTTGTTTGATAGCATGAAACTCCACACTCTCCAGGCAGGTGATATGGTTTATCTACTCATACTGTGCACACCTAAAAGGTTTTCAGTCTGATATGTTGGCATTTGAGACCTGTTCTAAGAATGAACAGTTGATATGGTTTATCTACTCATACAGTGCACACCTAAAAGGTTTTCAGTCTGGTATGTTGGCATTTGAGACCTGTTCTAAGAATGAAGCTCAACATGTAACTTAATTGGGACCTTCTCATGAGAAAACCCAGGATTGGCTGCATTAAACAGAATTAACAACCACCATTTCATTACTAAAACCACTTGCTTCTTAAAAATCTAACATACTCACAAAGATATCAGTAACAGTTTTGATGGCCTTCTCTTTTCTTTGCATAAATTCATCATCCTGCAAGACATTAATGGAGGTGATTAAAAATACCAGGAATGGAGATTAAAACTCAACCACTGTAATGAGTTTAGCAAACGAAGTTGCCAAATAGTTTCTAAGTGAGCTGCCCAACTATTTAGTGAAATGTCAGTGAGTTCCTGTAACACAGAAACGTATTTGCTTCTCTCATCTGAGAGGTAGGTAGGTCTTTAAAACTGTATCCAGACAAGCAGTCTTTCTGCTCCCTGCTCATACAGTACCTGACACAAATGCAATCCCAGCCCACTACCAGGTTCTCCAATCATTACCACACTGTGAAGAAATGAAGTTGGGATGGGTTTAATGTGGAAAAGAGAAGTTTCCCCTACTATTATTTTAGTTCTAAGCATAAAAAAACCCCAAACAAAATCCAAACCACCTCAAGCTAATAAAATCCATCTGTCCTTCCCAATACTAGGGATGTCTACTTTTAATGCTGTTACTGAATTACAGACAAAACTTGGGTTCTAGATTTTAAATACGGAATTGGCTTGAGATGTGCATGAACAGAACTGATGGCTCTGCACTGGCACAAATCCAAGCTCCTTCCAGCTCTCCTCCTACACCAAGGAACCTTCATATCATGACTGCAGAATAGGAAGGAGAGAGGATCACAACACTGTTCTCAGCATGTAACTTCAAAGTGGGCAGCATTTGACTGTTATCAGAAGGAGGAGTATGATCAAGGTATGTCAAACAGTACAAAATTACTCTTAACCACTATACTTCTACATAAAACCGCATCTCTCACTCCTCTGGCAATCATATTTTACAGAGACAAATGTATTTCCTTTTAACTCAAACCTGTCCCTCTCTGTCTTTCCCCAAGCTCAGTTTTTGAATGAAGTCTTTTAGAAATCTATTTTTCAAGAACAAATTTTGGGGTTTGGATACAGGGAGGCAAGAGCTGACTTTGAGCACTCTAAAACAAAACCCAAGTTATATAGCATTACCAGCATATCAATTCTCATTTAGCTAGATCAGCTTCTCCACAGCACACCAGGTGTTCTCAAACACATTTCAGGCAACGTAGCTCCAGCCACACGGTTTGCCTGGATACACTGCGCAGAGCTCTATATCCACTCCAGAAGTGAGCTATCCGGCAACCCAGACTGACAGAGAAGTACCAAATACTGCAGAAAAACTAAGGCAACTATTAAGCAAAAGTTAACCAGTATCTATGAATTCTCCGTCATAATAATATTTTAATTTTTTCCCAGCTGAATTTGTGCATGGAGTCCTCTAGGATCAATTAATAAAATTATAGCAAAGGCGACTCTGGTATATTGTGCTGATTTCAGAGCTGTGAAGCTGGTACTGCACCTGAGCATATGACATACTACAACAGAAACAAGAACTAGCTTGATCTTACCTCTGGTAGGCTATGAGTTTTTTGAAACTGTGATATAGAGTAAGAACGGATATAGTCTCCCATTTCTTCCCTTGTTTCTATTGCACGTTTCACCAGCCACTGGCGGCAGGGGGGGGAGAAGAAAAAGTTTGTATCAGTGGAAAGGGGAAGAGTAACAGAAGCAAACACCAAACTACTGCAAAATTATTCTTAATACGTGATAAAAGCTAAAAGCACATTTTAAACACATAAACAAAAACATTTATTTGTAAACATGGTAACTCAGAGACCTACTCTTAACAAAATGATTCAGCATTAACTATTTGATAAATGTCATGTATGCTTTTCCATACTAAAAAGCTTAGTAGAGCATGGCTTTTCTTGTAATCAAAGTTTTATATATAAAAACCTAAACATTCTTCATCCTGTTGAACTATATTGAACCATACAAACTTCAGTGAGCCGTGCTGTTCATGCTACAGTGGGATTTGATAGTCCAAAGAAGATCAAGCTGCCTTCCTCTATAAGCTCCTTGGAACAGAGCCTGGTATCCCAAAAAAACCACTTTTCTGAATGTTATTTGTAAATAGTGTATTGTAAAGTTAGTTATTTTGTTGCATGGTTTCCCCTTTATTTAGCTTGCACTATAGCCTCTCATATACTGAATTGCTTCTACATTCTAATTAATTTCTTATAGTAAGTATGGAAAGAAAATTCTATTGCAAATTTCAGCTGTTAGGAATTCTTAGTTCGCGAATTAATTTAGAAACAAAAACATATGAAATCTTCACAAGCATGAGCAAAGTTCATTGAAATTTTGCCAACATGAATTTCTGTAATCCAAAAAATTGGATCTTCAATACATTAATTCCAAAAAGAAAAATGAAGAGCATCTGTGGAATAGAAATAGGTGCGGGCCACTTTAAACATTCTTCTTTTAGCTTGCATCTTTAAGGAGGAAAAAACCCCCCAAATAGTCCACACACACCCCAAAAAAACCCTGAAGTGCCCTCCCAAAAATGAGTGGCATAAACCCTACATGCTAGCACAAGAAATCTACTACTTAAGCTAAAAATACATTCTAACAAAATACATTTCACCACACTAAGCAGCTATATTATCTATAGTATTATAGTATCTATAGTATTATAGTATCTATAGTATTATAGTATTATAACAAGCAATTACTTGTTAAACATTAATAACATTATGTTATCAACATACAGAACAATACATACTATAGAGAAGTACACAGCAGTAGTTCACAAAACAAAGGGGTGTTCATCTTCTGGCTTTTTGTTTTCAACTATACCATGGAATAGCCTGCACACTTCACAACTCACCAGACCAAGAGCTCAGCTGTACCAGCCAGCACAACATACACCCTATTCTACATTCAAAAAACTCAAAACTCCACTGTACTCTAAAAGCTATCAATGCTGTCCTTCTACTGAGCAGGCCATACTGAATAAATAATAAATGTCTCGGTTCTAGGAGGCATTGGATTTACAGCATGTGTAAAAAAATGTGATTATACTCTGCATGCATACAGGTTCATTCCTCTCTACTCCAAAGAAGCCTCTGGGAGCATACTTTAAAAGAAACAGGTAGTCCACGTGGCTTTTATGCAACCTGTGGGCTACGGTATGGTCATCCATAAAAGCAAGCTTGAACTGTTCACAGCACCCATGTCTAGCAATCTGAGTAGGTGGAGATGGGCTGGAACTCTGCTGGAATCTGAAGCAATTAGAAGTTGCACAGAAAATGTTCTGGGCTCTCAGTGCCAGGACCCAACACTGAACTTGCCTTGTATCATTAGTCCGTTATACTCCGACAGAAGACACCACTTGGAACATGACCTCATCTCGTTAATCTTGGCTGTACCCCAGGTACAACCCATTACAGCTAGGTTATATGCATTTCTATCAAATTTTCCTATTATAGATCACTTACTGTTTTTAAAAACTACAGCTCCGCTGTGAAAATATGTATCTTCAAGCCTATGAAGTGCTCAAGAAGAACCACATGCCCGTGTAAATAAAAAAGGCTTCTTCTGACATTTATAAGACCACACAAAAAGCCACAAGAGATTGAAGTATATTTTAAATTACGTTGGAGAAGATAAATCTTGCGGGCTGTTGACAGCCTGTGCAGGAGGTCACATAAGAGATCAGATCAATCTTGGGATCCAAGTTTGAACCAACAACAGTTATCTGTGCTGTAACCAAGAACCCCTGCAAAGTGAGGGGAGGATGATGACAACAAGAGAGATGAAAATACAGACTACTAATTACAAAGCACATCTCAACACAAGATTGAGTACATACTTTTCTCTGTGAACATAAGCAGAATTTACTAGAAAGAACAGCACCATTTCTGCCCACTGGAATTTTTTATTTTTTTTTTTTAGGGTTTGGGTTTTTTTTGGTTTTTGTTTTGTTTGGCTTTTTTTTGTAAAGTTCTGCTACAGTTTATGGCAGTCAGCCAACTCAATCTAATTTCCTCCTGCAGGGAAGGATTCATTTAAATTCCTCCTGTCAAGTTCACCAGAGTATCTCGCACAGTGCAAGAGCTATTGGGACTCAATGCCAGGTGGAAGAAAGAGGGGATTTGGGGACTGATTTGAGTTTTACAGATAACAAGTGAAATCTTGAATTTAACAGGGCACTGATTGAAGTGTCATTATCAAATGCATAATTCCTACGTGCCATGGTGCGATCAGCCTTTTACAGCTCTTGCATGGTCTTTTTCAGAACACAGTATGCTGGTGACACCACAAAAGTTTTCTTGAAAGCCTGTCTTGGTTGCATGAAACGAGGAACCAACAGTATCTGGAGCAGGCAGAACTTCATAGGGACCTGACAGAAAGCCACAATTTCTAAAAATCATCCTCTACATACAAAAAACTAAGCTCATCAGGGAAGACTTCACCAAGCATGGATTAGATATACCACCTACTGGCCAGCTAGTAATACTAAGAATCACTGCTCTCAAAAGAAATCTAGAAGCCAATTTCTTCCCTGCTTAGAATTAATGTTTCTCCTTCCCAAAGGCAAATCAGGATTTTGGATAAAGCAGGTCAGAGAAAAGAATATCTAGCATTATAGTTTTTACAGCAGAAGTAATAGTTCATGTTCTCACTTTAGGAGAGAAATTATTTTTCCTGTGAGAGAAGTCTTGTGTTTCACAAATGTAACCATTCATTATCATTAAGTGAGCAGGGCAAGAAATTAACCTGGGTTGGGATTTTGGGGGGTTTTTTTGGTAGGAAAATTCAAGTTTAGAAGTAAAAATTCACATTAACAAGATACAAACTGTCTACCTTAGGCAGCACAAGCACAGCTTGAAAGCTGTATAACAGTAGCACATACCACATAACTTTTTGTGGGGAGTGCAGTTAAGTGGTTTTCCTCAGGAGCCCCCTACTAAAAGATAACAAGAAAGAGACAATAGGAAGTTTTCCCCACTTTTTACAAACTGGAATTTAGATTTCACTCTTACTTGCTAAATTCTTTCACAGGCAGGCAGTAAGAAGATATTTAATGAAGAAAGCAGCTTGCTTAACAGTCTTCACTTTCCCTATTTATCAAAGATACATTTCTGTGTGCAGATGAAAGTAAAATCAAAGAATGATGACGACATACCAAGGATTCTCAAGATACCACACATAACAGGAACACATCATGTGTTAGCGTAAACCTTAATAAAATGGAGAACTATGAGCATGCATATGGTCAGTTAGTGTTGCTCAACAAATACACAGCAATAGGGTCACATGTCAGAGCCATTTATTTTTCCACCCATACAGTTTTTAAGTGATACAAATGAAGGGTGTATTATGCTCAAAGAAACAACCCCAACTGGCTTTCACCTTACTCATATCCTTCTGATTGAGTGACTACCTGCATAACTTACCCCATAAGCTTAAACATAGACTGCAAGATACTTGTTGTACTTCCTAGTCTGGCAAAATAAATCATCAGATTCCATAACAGGCTTAAACTTTAGTTTCTTTAAGCCAATGTTCCACAAAAGGCAGAACCCGACTCCATTTCAAAGAATTTGAATAGTTTGTTTTCTGTTTTTCTTAAATGTGGATCAAACAATACTTCAGAAATCCATCATCCGTCACTCAATTATTTAAAATCATTCATTTAAACTACTCCTCTGTGATTATTCATTCCAAAGATAAATAAATAGCCAAATAATAATAGATCTTTGGTAAAATTTTTATGCAAGTTTTACGGCCTTTTTCAACGAAGTATCGATACATCACAAAATTATTACCTGTACAACAGGAAATATATGAATGAAATCCAGTCCCTGGATCTGATGTGGTTCCAAACGATGAGGACACTTCATTTTTGGTAATACTGACACAATTTTTTCAGTTAAGGCACTATTATAAAACAACAAAAACACACATGTATATATGCTACAATTTTCTTTTGTAAATTACAAATTATTTTTGCAAACAGTAGTTAGAATGTTCCTTCTAGTGGCTTCTGTTGTATACAGCTGTGAAAAGCAATCAAACTTCCATTTACAAAATAGCTTTTACATTGTACTATATATGTTATTAGTCTGTGAAGAGGTGATTAAACCTCTCTTGCAGGCTCCTAGCTTGTGATTTCATTTACAGTAGTACACACAAAATTTTAAGATCGGCATGTCTGGTTAGATGAAATGCCCATGTAAGCTATATCTACAAACACCTTTGCATATTATAATATACGTACACATGAAGAAACACAAGCTTTAAGAACACTTAAACTATGTAAAAGATATGCCCTCAAAGAAAGTCCGGAATCAAATGCAAGGACTTAAATATTTGTTTAGCAGAACTCCAAAAATATATCTTGACATTACTACTGAAATTTTATGAGTTTAAATATGTATTACACCTAAAAGCTAAATAGACAGTGTACTTCATGTGGTTTTGAAGTGAGTAAAACTGAATCTGCTGGCAACCATCACGTTCGACAGCTCAGGTAAGAACTGGTAAAGTGAAAGGATTACCCTAACACAAGGGATTCATCTACAAGAACATCATCCTGCTTCCACTGAATCCCTTATTTTAGGGCAAGGTATTTTTTTTCTGCCAATGCTGTCAAGCACATTTTTAAAGCAGGTGTCAGCACAGAGGATGAACACTGTACTGGGAAGACTAAAACTATTTTTCCATGAAGGAAAAAAATTAACTGGTCCACTACCGACCCCAGTGATATTCAGCACTGCCCAAATAGACAACTGATATTCTGGAAGAAAAAAAGGGGAACAAAGAGATATGAGACAGAGACCAGAGTCTGGGAACAGAGCCTGAAAAGTTATACTTCTTAAGAGAAGTGAAAACTTTGACATAATTCTAATAAGGCAATTTTCACTATGGCACCATACTAATATTCTACAACATGAAAATAGCAGCGCCTCTCAGCACAATCAAAGCAAATGCAATAAAAAAAAAAAAAAAGTTATTTATCCAAAAGATGCAAGATCCTCTCCTAATGTATGTTTCCATGTTTATTTCAACCCAGCAATTAAATAACAGGACACCATCAAAACTTCTTCAGAATACTACTGAGAAAACACAACTTAATTTTTCCTTATCTTGAAAAGATCACAGAAACACTGAGCCACCACCAATATAAACATTACATGGATATCAAAACAGCCTATGCTGTGTGACACTGAACACTTTAGATTTACAAGTAAATCACTGTTGCTGTTTTGGGAGAGGAGCCTGGGTTTTGTTTTGCCAGTTTTGCATCCAGTCAGCTGGAAAGATAACAGAACATTTTCAGAACAACTTAACCATTTCCTATCCTTGCTGTTCTTCAGAATAACAAACTTGGCAATTTTTATAAAACTACCACCACCATCTTCATTCCTAGTCTCTACTTAATTCTGTGAACTTAATGCTTTATGTAGTTAGTTATCTACAATGATTTGAGTGTCTCGAAGTTTAATGGCAATAATCACAAATCTTTATTTTTAAATGTGTTACAGTCTTGCCGATGTCAAATGGCTTTCAGGAAAACAGCACAGAAGGATGTTCTTTTCAACTACATTGAGCAAACAAGTCTTTTCGTGCAACCATAACTTGACAGCTATTCTTACTTCCTGCAGATTTTAATTATGACACTCTTATCACAGAAATGCACAAAGAAATAATGTAGTTTAGAATGTATTCCCTTACTCAGCATAAACAGATTTTACAACCTGCCTAATACAGGAACTAGCTGGCTTATGAGCAAATTCCATGCATAAGAAATGAATCAAACCAAAATGGTCTCGTTGGGTCACTATCAGGAAGGAAGAACTCCTCCTCCTCAGCAAGGGTAACTGTTTTGGCAACCACGTCATGCCTTAAATTCTGTTTGCTGATGGCTACAATTCTGACCCAGAACCATAAAGGAGAATCCGAGGTTATTTACACAGCAGAACTGCAGACATAGAGAACTCAAGGAAGGTCTTCTAATGTTGCACTCTAGTTTCCAGCAGCGTGGTCTCCCTCTGCCCTTTGTTTTGGCCTCTGCATCATCCCCTTGTGCCAGCACAAGCATCTGTGCAGCTGCATAGAGAACTGGATCCAGGAACTGATTCACATGAAAACTATTTTCTTTTTTTCCTTTTTTTGGTAGGTTTTAATCTGGATCAGTTCCAAATCCAGTTCAATGTGGAGCCACATAAATGCTTTCACTGCTTATGAGGGATATAAGAACATGGCAGCCCAGGAGGGAATAGCGCTGCCTTTTTTGGAATAAGCTTCTTTCTGGTTTTAGAGTTTGTGGAACTACAGTCTGAGAAACGCAGAAACCAGTTCAGTGTTTTTCACATGTGTGGTCTTGAAAAGCAGGAAACTAGGACTAAAAATCCTTCATATAAACAAGCAAATATCAGGTAACTTCCCCCACCCCACCCACTTCTTTTCTAAGAAGAAAAAAAAATACCACACTTGCCATTTAATCAACTTACATTTTTTGGCCAATAGTAGAGTTTTCCTGAAACAACAAATCAACATCGATATCAAAGCTGCAAGTAGTGATACACCACGTCATGCCGCCTACCACCTAGTAAAGGTGCAAGAGCATAGTTAGTTCCATTTTAATTTGAGGTAAAACCAAATACCTCTTAAGGGCTTTATTATTTAATTTAGAAACTACAGCTTAGTATTTTTCCCACCCCCAGTATTCTGATATAGAGACTGAAATACATATAGATAGAATACATGTCAACTTCTACATACAATACATATATACAACAGAAAAAAACCCCAGAGCAGTTAGTGACATCCTAAATTCCTCTCTTAGCTTTATATATTAGTTTTGAAACAGCACTCCAATTAAAACAAAAAACAATAGATTAAACACGACAGTATGTTACATGTCATGATCTTTAAAAAGCGACCATATCAAAATTTTATCAAGGACCATATTTATCTTTATATATACACCTTTGCTACTATTACGCTTTGCTTGCCAACACATGCAACACCAAGTGCTAGGCACAGTATCAACATAGTAATGGAAATCCCCAGGTCCTGTTCCTAGAGATATGTAGGCATATTTAAACTCCTGAGCCATTTCATCAACTTTACATAAATTATGTAAATATTTAAAGACAACCTTGCATTAACATAACCTAAAAGTATGAAAAGACAACAAACAGGAAAAAAAGGGATTAAAATGTGCTATAGCTTACCAACATCACACAGCAAATGAGGAACTCTACAAAGTTTTCTAACACATTACCCCTCTCACATTCCCGTCTGAAAGTTAACCAGTATCCCTTTCATACTAGCAGCTAGATCATTTTCTATAGCAATGCTCATTTTTGTAAAGGTTGGGCATTGTCATGAAATGGTAACTTTGCAATTGTATTTAGGCAAGTATAAACCTGATGCACCCATTTCTACACATAAATGCAACAATATTACAACCTAAGGCGGTCTCCTTGAAACTACTTTGTGTCTGTGTGCACAGCCTCCTGAGCAGTGAAGGTCAGTAATGCCAAGCGGTTTGAAGAAACTAAAATTGTATTGCAAAGTAGGGCTGTGCTATCATCAAAGAAACAGCAGAAAACAGAAGAGTCCATTTCAAGGCTGCTGTAGCTCTGTTTTCAAACCACGGTTCAGGAACTTCTCACAGAGTCAGCACTAAAACAATCCAGAAGTCTGTTTTCAACCTGAACTTTGCTCGCTGTCAGTATCACATACTTCCTGTCTAGGACAATGAAAGGTTGACATACATGACATTCTAAAGATATGTAAAAACAGCCCCAAAATAATCTCACTAGGCTAACTGCTCCATTCTTACATGGAGCCTCTCAAGACAAGTATTTCCTCATTTCTCATTAATGAGTACTTCTTTTTAAAATTACCATGCTACCTCCAAGTATCAAGTCTTTCTAGCTATTCTAAATGCAGTTGAGAGAGGGGCAAATTTCCCCATATATGACTAACTTAGGCCACAACATCCACAAAAAAGCACAGCAGCAATTAGTTTGCATCCAATTGTCTCCTTTAAAACAGGCCTGCTGCGCAAAATCGACCGAGGAGGTCCTATCTGTCTGAAACTGGGTCATCTGCAGAATTATTTACATAGGAAAGCCTCATGTGTTGCAAGTATCTTTTTTTTTTCATCACTTAGAACTGCTGAACTAACTTGCAAAAAATATGTAATCCTTATCTACTTAAAAAAGGTTTTTAAAAATACTGCATCAGTCTCACCTTGTCAAAGGGTGATAAGCCTTTGATTCTTGCTCGAAAATACCCAGCAGCCACCAACAGTTCCAAAATTTCAGTCAACTTGATGTTTTGTTCCTCATCTTCTCTTGTTTCAACCTGACAAACGAACAATGCCACACTAATTCAGTGTTTCTCTTTCATTCTTCAAACAAACATTTTCCAAACTTTACCTTAACACAGACCACATTATCAGGGAAAACCTTCACTTCCATTAGCAACTTGGTTGTTAATTTGAAAGACATTAAAGAAATAAGTAATGCATTTCTACGTGGATTTAACATCATGTCTTTTTCACCCAGTTAAATACTTTAATCTGCTTTTGCACTTCAACTGCTTGCCTCCAGCTAGACAGATTGCTCCTATTGCCATGACAGCTAATTTATTCTCCATTTTGCACATTTCTTTCAATTTCAGAGTTCACAAAATCCTACACCTGACATCACCGCTTCTATAATCTTTTTTACAAAAACAGGAGGAGAAACTCGTGTGGAATTCCACTTTTCGGGTAATGCAATTTTAAGCAAACTCGAAGTACGGCAGTCGCACAAACTAAACTCTGACAGGCAGCCCGGCCAGTTTCAGTGCTCCAAAGCACAGCTCCCTTTTAAGAGCACCCTTTAAGGTGCACAGCACCCTTTTAAGGGCGCTTCTGAACCCCACGGCTCCAGGAACATACGTGATTTACTAGAGGCACGGAGCGCCCCAACACCTCAGGCTTAGGCCGGAGAGACGGCCCACAGGGCTCCACGGATCCCCCTCAGGGGCTGCG